AATATATTATATTCGTATATTATGTTAGAGTGGTCTTCTCATGCAACTGCAAATGTAAATGTAAAAAAAAAAAAAAAAGAGGAAGCAAAATTTCCCAAATGTTGAGAAACTGGAAGCTGGGGAGGGGGACATATAGACTACCTTGCTTAACCTGTTTTTGATCTACAGATTTGGTGCACTAGCAAGTATTTACGACAGCTCCAATGTATGTGGGACTGACTCAAAATAAACTACAGTACCAATGCCCATGGTAATGATGAGGCATATCAGCCACTGCAACAGTGTGGCTAACTTAAGTGGTTTTCAAAGTTTTTGAACAGCGGCACAGGAGAATAAGCTGTAAAAGGCTTTTGCTTTACAGACAATACACCACTTTCTGCCTTTTCATGCGCTTTACTGACAAAAAGAAAAATACAGGAATACCCCCAGCCCCATACTTTACGTTTTAAAGAAGGAAATGGATAAACCAGTGTACCTGACTGTGTTGTCTGGCTTCCTTTTAAAATCCAGGCTGTGTTCCAGATGCTGAGGGACTATTTATTAACTCTGTGGGTGCTTCTGAGTCATTATTAAATTGGTTTAACAGGTCTTTAAAACGTCATCAGTATGTCCGCTGTACTATACCTGCTCAAAGGCACATTGCTCCTATAACAGAGACAGGATGTGATTCACACTCTGTTTAGACTCAGTTTAGTGCTCATTGTCTCAGAAGCTTCTCTAAAGCAAAACGTCACTCAAAATGGCTTGTTGTTTCAGTGTGATTAAAACACTCTGAAAGTGTTGTGATAATATCTTATCTCACTATCTATGCATGTGGCATGAAGTGAGACTAATGCACCAACAGACACACACACTCATTATTATTCACAATAGCATAGGTCAGATGAATGCTAACCAGTGCAAATGAGCAGGAGGGCTGCAGGGAGGTGTACCTATGGAGGAAGAGGGGAGGGTCTAATAGACGTAGTGACATGAGGGACTTGTCCTCTGGGAGAGAGCTGCAAATGAACCAGCAGCCACACCTGGGACTACACCACACACGTGCCCGCATGCACGCACACACACACACACACACACACACACACACACACACACACACACAAGCACACACACACAAGCACACACACACAAGCACACACACATATATGTTTGGGTTTGCTTGTGAGCATGTGGCTGCCCCCACCACATACCTGATTGATTGATGCCTTGAAGCTGTCTTTTACAAGTATTAAAAAAAGAAAAAAACACCTTATCCTCTTGACAAAAGTGTAATTAACACCCATACCATCCTGGCAGCAGAAATTAAAATATTACTGGCCAAGAAATAGTGGAACAGTTATTAGTTAGTCAATAGAGATAATTAGCCATTTCATCTCAATCCAGTCTTGTAAGAAAAAGGACAAATGTCTGAAATAAAATACGGCCAATAAGACATGGTCCCAAGCAGCTGCAGAAACAGCATTATTGCTGAGTATTAATTTGATAAAGAGTGAATTGGCTCAAAAAAATGTTATTCACCACTACAGGCATCTTATCAGAGCACAGAGTCACCAGGTGAAGTTCAGGTTCTTTACTGAGTCTAAAGAAAAATCGAACAGTTGTATAAATATGCCAAAAGCAGTTGCTCTGCAAGGGCAACCAACTATGCATTAGTGAAACATTGAATTCAGTTTATTACTAATGCTGAGTGATACAATGATGTAATTCAAATGGGTATTTATCAAAGTAACTGCAAAAATACAGTTTGTCCAAACACCCTTTCCACCCTAACTTTAAAGCCACTATATGCAGGATGTGAAAATAAATTACTTTGGCACCATTCAATGGGAGCGTCAAGAGCATGTACTGTATCAGACAACAATGTGTACCACTACACCCCCTCCTCATCAGAATAATTTCAGAGATCCTACAAACACAGAAAATGTAACTTTATGGAGCACACAGTGTGTGGCTGTGCCACTTCTACTATGTCTAACACTCCTTTGTTGGGTGTTTTTTGTCTCTCTGTAAGGACCTGCACAGCCTCAAGGGGTCACAAGTGCGGCCCTTGTGGACACAAGAACTGAAAGCATTTGACAAGTGTGTTTTCATCTCTTTTTTCCAAGGGCCAGTTTCACAAAGACAGACTTTGACTATGGCTTAAATCTAACTAACAGTCAGACTTCAGATAGACGTCTACACTGATCTATAGCACGAAGCTAGAACGTTTTTGAGTAGGCTACCTCATGCATGGACTTATTAAGAGACCTTGATTTGCAACGCAGTCACTCAGCCTTGCCACCAATTTATCCCAGTGGCCACTCACAGTATTGGAACGAAAAAATCCCCTGCAGCCCCAAAGGCATTTCCCCATAGACCACCCCTGAAGACCCTGGTAACCTGGGACCAGTTTATGAACTCACTAAATTTTTTGCAAAATTGAACTGTAACACTCACAAAGGTGTAAGCCTACACGCTTAAACTTTTGTCAACATTGACATTCTACACATGATCAATCCGTTAGTGCCTCCGCAAATCATCCGTTTAGATCATTTTACAGAAACCATGAGCAGAAAGTACAATTCATTCATATTTACCAACATTGTAAACCAGCAGAATGGCGAATCCCTACCTTAGAAGCCGTCTTGGACCGAGCCCGATTGTCCAATCCTCGATTAATTATGTTCCTTTAGTCCATGCGGGTCCACAGATCAGAACATTCAAAGGGGTCTTTAATAAAAGCTTTCCAAGTTGCCAATGATGAAGTCCACTAGAGACTGTCGGCAACTTCATTAGCATCACTTCACTCCACATTTCCGCCATTTTCCCTCATAAAATGCCTCTTTTTGGGTATACTTGTTTTAGTTAGTTGGGAAATGGGAAGTCTCCCTGCAACGTTCCGTTCAGATTTGACTCCAGAAAGTTAAGGTGAAGATAGCGAACCTGGTGATGAACCTATGCCAGTTGTAGAATGCGCTGTTATTGGATAATGCCTTCTGTCAATCATGCTAGTTTGAAGGCAGACATTAGCCTTCTGAGCTAATGCTAACTGGTTCAGCGTCCACCCTCAAGGTATCACGGCAAGTCCACTAGGGCTTAGGGCCGCCCCACTGTAAAACTATTAAGTGCACGGTGGCTCTCCAGCAGACATTCTGTGCCCTTTATGGACACTTTCCACATGTCCGTATTTCTACCGATTTCTAAAGATTTTGCAATGAGGGAGTTACCCAGAGTTCATAGCGGTGTGACGTTAAACAGGGAATTACCGTGGTTACAGGGGACGCCCGGAAGCATAAAACGGTTATCAAGCGCCATAAAACGGAAAAAAGAATAACACAAATGAAGAACGGTAAATAAAGAAGCATGAAACGAACGAACCCAAGCGTTAACGTCACGAGAAAAAAAAGAAGTTAACGTGTAAATAAAGCTCACTGGTGATTCATAGCCAGAACTGTGAACTGTTATTTGTCCTATGATGGCATGATTATAAATTCCAAACTTTTTCAGCTAAAAAACTTTTTTTTACAAACAAGGAGCGAAAGAAGCGATTTATGTCTTCAGCTTCATCGCATAATTTGAAGAAAAGATAAGTTGAGAAATGGGTCTCAACTTTTGAAAATTTGCTTCTAGCAGACATGTTTGAAAAGCTATGAAAAAATACCATATAGATGTATGTTGATCAAAATCAAACCCTTTTTATACTTTAACTACTCAGTATGAACAAGGTTGTTAACGTGGTGTTAACAAAACTAACTAACTAACCAATTTTTCATTAGACAACGTGAACAACAGCAGAAGAATTATACTTCATGCATGGACCCTGTAACATGATGACGAGTGAGGTCAGTGGTCAGGTGGTGACCGTGGGAATTTAGCGGCAAAGTCGGCTGGTTGCAAAAGATGGTCTTAAAACATCATGAAAAACAAAAGTTGGAGCGGTGGAGCAGCAAAGACAAATATGAAAAGGAAAGGACAAGGAGAAAGTAAAATTCAGACAAAGATACAATTTATCTGACATTTTTAAAAGTTATCTACTGCGCTTGACAGCGTTAGCAAAGAGGACGATGCCTGGACAGTAAGGAGGCAGCAGCCACTTCAGCTGAACATCAGCATGAAACAGAGGCAGAGTGCCACAGTCCTGTGACAGACACCTTTTCAACTGCCCCACCCTCATCTCCACCTGAGTGGGTTGAGTAGGTTACCAGTTTAGCAGCCCCACAATTTACTACTTTCTACCTGTTTTCCCCACATTGCCAGAATTAAAAAATGAACTGAGAACAACAATAAGGCAACAACGCTTGAAGTCTTTATTAATATTGGCAACAGAGTCGGAAGTCGTCAGAGACCTGGACTTTGATGATGTGATGATATACATACTGTATGGTCTCCAAGGTGTTGTGTTAATAGCCCAGAAATGAGAAGTAGTTGACATTAGTTGGTTTAGGAAAACCTGTTTGACTATTGTACTCTCTCTCTCTCTCTCTCTCTCTCTCTCTCTCTGTCTTTGTGTTCTCTCTCTCTCTCTCTCTCTCTCTGTGTTTGTGATGGAAGAATCTGAATCACAGAACTGTATTGGTGGAGGTGGGGCCTGTCCTTTTGTCGTGTTAAATGTATCATACATATTATTGAAATATAATTTTATGTTGTTGCTTTTTTAAGAGTAATCTTTAAAAACTAAATTATGCACTTTTTTTATCTATAAACATGCGTCATATTTTAGAAGCTGATCATGTATGTTGAAACTTTTAATCTGAAAAGTAACTTGTAACTGCTGTTGATAAATAGGCAAAATGTAGTGCATTAGAAATGGAATGACATTGCTTATAATATGTCGGTTAAATAAAAACATGGCCAAAAAAAACAAAAAACATGACCAAACTGCGGTGATGATTTATTTTTCAGTCCAACTCTTCAGGAACTGTAAGTTGACACCACAAACTTGCAGGCGTGTTCAGGAGAGTTTGTTTTAAAAGCGACGGCCCCTGTCACAGTGTGGTGTAGTTACATGTGGCGAACCTGAGGGCGGTGAACATCTGGCTCTCCGTGATGAGTGCATGTGTATGAGAGGACACACACACGGGCGAGAAGATACTAAACAAACTTTTATGAAAAAGCTAATCTTTTGAAGAATCCTGTTGGCGTTTTGTAAGTATATTTGCAGGATAAACTGTGTGTTAATTTTTTTTATAAAAGTTTGGTGCTGATGTTGACAGTGAATATGATGATGATGAACACTGTACTAATGGAAATATTAGCTCCCTCATCAGTGGAGGAAGACGTAGCCTACTTACTTAAGTTTGAGATACCACAGTGTAAATATAGTAAAAACCTTGCATTCAAAATCTTACTGAGGTAAAAGTAAATAACTGTTAGCAGCAAAATTCAATAATAATATCAAAGTAAAAGTACTCACTGAGCAAAATAACCACATTCAGAGTGTTGCATTTGTCATGTAGGCCTACTAATATAATTTATTATCGGGTTATGATTCACTGTGTGTAATTCACGTGTGAGCAGCATTATAATGTAATTAAGGTTTATCTTTAACAGTTTTTCGCTTTAAATATTTACATATGGCGGGGGAAAAACAATATATTTTATAACTGTTTACATATAAGATCTTGATTTGTAAAGATAGGCTATGAAATAAATGTGCACTTTCCACCACTGTCCCTCATTAATATGATAATCTAACCGTTTCTGGAAAAGTTTTTCACTATGCTAAGTTTTTATCCTTTTTGTTTATAACAGCATAACACAGCAGTTTCAGAATTTAAAGTGACTGATTGGATTTGATTGGATATTCTCTTGAATAAGCAGTTTGTACACGCAAACAAAAAACGAGGTAACTAAATATGTGTCTGAATGGGACAATGAATGGGAAAATGTGTTTAATGTGTTTAATGTTATTACACGAGTGCTCAGAAGATTAATGCAGAAATGAATTCTCCAGCATGTTCGTGGTGTCTGACCTGTCATGGCCTCAGTAGCAAAAACTTGAGTCAGAATTCACTCAATGAACCAACTGTTCTGAGGTGCTCACTGTTTATTTGATTTACCTCACAACAACCTTTTTTCTTTTTCTTTTTTTTTAACATCTTGGTGCCAAAATTGTATTTTATTGTGTTTCACTGGAGCTGGGGTACAGTAGGTCTCCACTGTTCAGGGTGTGTAACCAGAAGCAGGCAACAGACCTTTCCATCCTGTGTTGATATGAGGTTTATTTAGTCTAGAAGCAGCAGAAGAAAAGCCATAGGGTGAGAGCACCACTGAAGCTGAAACCTATACCTCAACTATGCAGTCGTATCCATTCAATATCTGTTATTCATTCGCTAGTTTTACATTACCTCTTTTAAGCTGTTACAATCCTCCAGCTAACACTTGAGACAGCAGATCATTGATCAAGAGAGCTACTGCTGCCATCAGTGCTGTCGGACATCCACTTGAAGTCATTCATCCTGATATTTTATGAATAGCTTCTTTTTTTTTCAAACAGTTGACAGATGCAGTGGATGTTGAACAGACTTTGAGGACAAAAGCAGAACGCACAAGCCTGCAGGTTACAGTAACAGCAAACTCAATTTGTACTGAAATTTGTTTATAGAAACAAAGACACATTTTCCCGAATGAAGAGATAATTCTTTCACTGACAGATTTGCAAACTAAATTTTTTTTTTGAAGAAGGGGAGAGCCGTGCCTGTCATGTAGGGAAACAGAATTTTGGTAACTAGTTGTGAAGTTAGTTGTTTACCAGAGACTGGCTTTGGTTTCATTCTCTGGAGACACCAGTGTTCGAGCTGTGTTGAAGGCACCCGATCATTAATCACTCTGTCATCTTATATACATACACTACATGTTCAGGTATTTAAGCCCATGCTGCAGCTCAGATCATTCATTTTGCACACATTTTTCAGGTAGGCTGGTGTGTAATTGTAACTTTTCCCTCCAAATAGCCGGTTAGACCGAAGACGTTTGCTTTTATTGCCAAAAGACAATTAAAGGCTGTGAAATACCACTGAAGCAAGTCTTACTTTGGAAACATTAAAGGTTGCGCAAAGTAAATTAGGTGGAATAGAAACACTAATACATGCATGGGCCTGTGTGTGCGTGTGTGTGTGTGTGTGTGTGTGTGTGTGTGTGTCTGCTTGTGCACCAGTGTGTGTTTACATACATGGACCCTCTGCTCTGCAGGAATATAAAGACTGCTAGTGTCTGAGAGTCAGGCCAGTGGGTGACCTTTGCCTTCTCTTCCCAGCAGAGCCATCCTGTAGCAGAGGTGTGAATATTGCACCTGGATGTTTTGTCAGAGACAGAGGCTCTCATGCCCTGCTGGTCAACCTGTAAACCAGCCTCAAACTTGGCAGGAAGCCCCTTCATATACCTTGTCTCTGCCCCATGTCTGCGTGATTTGTTTACAAAAGACCCTTTTAACCACGTCCAGTTGGAACCTTATGTCTACAACATCCTCACATTTATCTGACACAGCCTTAGCCCAGAATTCACTGACATACATATTGCACATACACCTTTGCCCTACTTCCACTATAATCACGGTGCGAGGGATTTGTCATCAATTTTTTGCTGATGTAAGGCAAGTTTACAACGAACTACACTTGAACTTGTAACGATGATTTGCCACTCTGAGCTACAGGTACATTCATGCAGAGACACAGGTGGTGCACAACTATAAATGAGCTCTGAAGGCCAGCTGTGATGCTGCCTGTCTGGGTCCCGAACGTCTGCCCTCCAGGTGTGCTTTCACTTGACTATCCTGCTAAAGATAAAGTCTTTGCTACAGATAAGATTTTTAATAGTCAAGCTAGCGGCAGGGCTCTGGGGATGGCAATATCACTCAGTCGGTTGGTCTGTCGGTCCACCACTGAAACATCTCAACAGCTTCTGGATGCCATGAAATTTTGTACAGACATTAATGGTCCCTTGACATTCATGCCATGACGTTTACACTAGAAAACTGGGATGGTGAACATTGTAAACCATATACCTGCTAAACATGCTAGAATTTAGCTCAAGTAAAGCCTTAAAAAGCAGTACTCCTATGCAAAAACACGCAGCCCTCTCATTCATTTGAATGAGACCATGAGGCTCCAGCAAAACAACACAGGGTCGACCAGCAAAAAGCTGAATGTGGCTCAATATTTGCTTCAACATGATTTTATTCAGCACACAGGCACGCATTCCAGATGAATGGCTTCGTACTGCGAATGCTGTCATCACAACAAAACATAAAATAGATCAAAAATTTAGTCTCATAGTATATTGTAAACCTCTGTGCAGCATTTTTGCATCTGTGCAGCCTTAAAATTTTCTCTAACTAGTACCTGAGACAACATACCTCCGAAATTGCAACCCTTTGTGTTGTTTTAACCCAAGACAGTTTTTGGTCTGAATGCCCGCTTGGTCTTGTAACTTTACAATGAAACTTTAAAGTCAGTCATTTGGCACAAACCAAGCCTGTGTGTCTACTGTACATTACTCCGCAGACCCAGTGACCCACTGCATGTGTTGTTGTCTCAATTCCAGCTGATTAGCAGCGAGTATTACTGGCAGTCAGACCATGCCTCTGCATGGGGCTGAGCTTTATGATGGAGGCTGCTCTGGGAACAAGGCAAATGAGCCATGCAGCAGCACCAGGAGGCTGGCTCAGGGCTGTAGCTGTATGTCTTATTAAGCCAGTCAGTTTAATCCCTTTGATTAATGATTGTGTGTATTGTGCGGTTGTGAGTATAAGGTCCATGCATGGGAGCCAGTGTGTAAAATACGTTTCAGCATGTATTGTTGCTTTTGTACATGTGCAGAACATTTCTGTGTTTTCATGCCAATGAACGCCCATTAGTAACCTCAAAAACAATTACAATTTAATTATTTATTGCGTCTTTCAAGTTTGTCTTAAAACAACACTGACATGCCCGTACATTTCGCCACATGTTAATTGGCATTGGCATGTGGCGAAACCTAAAAATGACTTTGTCAGTAGCAAGGAAAACATCTGAAAAAGAAAGAGGGAATTTTACACTAGAAAGACTTTATGACTACTTGATTTTCCTGCTGGCTGCTGAAGCTTAGATTAGCCACAGGTGAACATGAATACATTTTTGCTTGAAAAGAGGACTTACATTGGTGGGAGGGGTCTCTCTACAGACAATATGATCAGGAGAAAAGATTAAGCAAGTCTTAACTTTCCTACATTTGAGCATGTGAGTAATGTTTTGAGATAGGCTTGAAAAAATGTGGAGCTATCCTTTAACTTAAGCTTGCTGTTAGCTAATTACTGTATACATTATCACAGTTTACAAAATGTTAAGAATAGATAATCCTTCAATTACAATGCAATTAGGATTTAAAACATGAAATTGTAGTGTTTTTGTGATTTTACTTCAATTCATGTGTATTTACTTTATTTTATTTCATTATTTTCTCACTCCAACCTCTATCAGTTATTACTCTTTGTTATTACTTGTGGAGAGCACCCACTGGTTTACACATCAATAACATTTGTAGGTTGTTTCAGTTGTTATTTGTAATGTCATGTGTGTTAATGTTGTATTTTGCAAAGGAGTAGTGAAAGACAAACTTTGTAGGGTGCAGCTGAGCCAAGTTCAATTCTTGATTTATAGCTAAAGCTAAAGCCAAACTGTCCTAAATGTGACAAAAACATCTGTAAAGTGAACTGTAAATAATGTATTCCGTTTCACTGAAAGCAGTTAAGAGTAAAATTGTTAAATATGAGCATGAAAAACATGATATCTCCCCTCCCACTTTGATACTAATGAAAACTGTAAAAAAAAAGAAAAAAAAAAGAAAAAGGAAAGAGCATTATTGATCAAAACAAAAAACATATGTATTATCTCCATCAAGGCCAAAGACCAATTAGAGCTCAAACATGGACAGTGACGTGGGAGTGATGAACACCAGCCTCGAGAGTCCTCTGAGCCCCAGGCACCTGACTGGGTTGGGGATGAACTGTCTTCTAAGCCAAAAGTACAGACACTCTGGGCCGGGCCTCACCAGTCCTCAGGAGTACAACCAGTGGCTGCCTTACCGTCATGACGCCAGCCTGCTGCCCATGAAAGAAGACCTGGCCTTCTGGCTCAACACCATGATGGGTGAGACTGTTGTCCTGTAATTCAAAAATATATTTGATTGTTAAAGTCTGTAAAACTGAAAACTGGGATCATGACTTTTCTTTTACAAAATACACACAGGTGTTTTGAATTTGTGCAGCTAAATTACAAGAGAGAATGTTAATTCAAAACTTCAGTGTAACATATTTAAGTAATAATAATATACAAAATATCACCTTGGGATGTTGTTTGTCACAGTCAAACACAGATGAATAACAAGACTTTACCATTTTGAATTTGGAACTGGGGCTTTTATTTTGAAGAGAAAGGTGAAAAAAGGCTGCAGAGGCACATTAACCTACTTATTATCCCAAATCCTTGAAATACCTCTCCATTAGAGGAAGCATGGCTGTGACTCCAGGGAAAGGGATGTTTTCTCCCACTTTACTGCATTGTGAGGAAAACCATAAAGTGTGTATACAAGCCACAACCTGTTGGAGGGCGTCTAGAAAGTGACAAGACTCCAACGTGATGAGTTTCTGACTGATGCTAAAACAGAGCCAACAGCTTATTGGCCTGTGAGTACTGATTTGTTTGGAAGCAGAAAAGTGATATTATTAGTTCGGGTTTCAATGTGTTAATGTCTTAAAGTTAAACCCTGATTGTTGGTTGTTGCTTGACACTTCAAAGCTTTTCTCTCATGAAGCATTCCTGTGGCCACGTTAGGTATCTTGTAAATCTATAAAAATGAGATTTGAGGTAAGCAGCAGTGTCATAATATCAAAATGTTGTTTGCAACAGGATGATATTGTAGCAGATGTGTGATTAAAACTGCAATATGCATGTCGATTATGTTATATACATATGCAGGAATGGGACATCTGTTTGCAAATGGTTAGCTTCTCATTTCAGACACCTCCTCAACCGAGGTGTTATAAGATTCTTTTTTTGTCCGGATTCTAGTAAATATGTTAACAGGGCTTTTTATAGGTGGTTTTTATTTTCTAGCCAGTTGACAACAATTCACACACTGGCTGATCAGCAGTATAATCAGCAGCTCTTTTACATTTTCGCCAAATTTTTTTCTTAATTTCAAACTTGTTTTGAGTTGATCTCATCTTTGGAGGGCCCCACTTCCTGAAAACTACAGTGGATAGGTTCCTCTTGAAACAAGAGATATAACAGCTTTTTGATGCCAAGCCAGGCAAAATTTGTTCATACTTGGTATATCTTCTTGGTATATATTTTACTGTATGTCATTCTGTGTGCATGTGTGTGCATCCTCCTCAGGTGTGGACCTCACAGCAGACAGTCTGATGGAGAGGTTGGATAATGGTGTTCTCCTCTGTCAGCTGGCACAGCTGCTCCAGGAGAAGATAATCCATGCCAACAATGGCAAGGTGCTGCAACAACACAAAGTCACGCACACATTCACACAAACAAACACAAGCTCAGAGGGTAGGACTTGTGCAATCACAAAAACACAAAACCACACCTTGCAAGTCATTTTAATCCACCAAAAAACAAACAAACAAATAAAATCACCTTAATTTTACCATCATAATAATTTATGCTCAGTGACTTCAGAACATTTAACTCTGTTGTGCACTTTACTACTATGACTCTGCAAACCTGTACAAGTCACAATAAGGCTGACAAACTGACAATAGATGATGAAGATATCAATTTTGTCTAAATAGATTAACCAAGTTTTTGGCCCAGTTGTCAAGAATCTTTGCTCAAAGAAAATGCAGTAATGTCTGATGTCACAGGTAAAGCCCACAGAACCCGCTGAGCTTTAGATGCAACGGTCTGAGGTTGGCAATGACAATATCTGGAGGTGAATTCAGGAATTATCTATGCCTGTTCATGTTTCCTATTAATAAGCCTCACCTACAGTAGGTTTTGTTTTGACAAGATCCTATTCATGATTTGTCCTCAATGCACAACCAAAAAAAAAAAAAAAAACTTGGCATAAGGGAAGAAGATGTCTCTGTCAATGTCACTGTCTTTATATTTAAACAATGCTGTTATAATACAGATGGCATGTGTATTGGCTATAATTACACATGAGCCAACATTAATCCATTTATGTGTTACTGTAGAAATAACCGCACTGTGTGTATGTGTCTACTGAAAACAATTACAGCCCTTTATAAGAAGAGTGATCCACTGGCGAGCTGATGCAACTTCTGGATCATTTTTCGCCCGAGACAACACAGCCAACTTCCTTTACTGGTGTCGAAAGATTGGCGTTGATGAGGCTTACCTTTTTGAATCAGAGGATTTGGGTGAGTTAAGACCGGAGATTGCATTTAACATGATGGAGTTTAGGAGCTCTGACCTCCCAGCAATTACTTTTAAGCGATATTATTTTTGTACAGTTTCTGAATAATTGGTATTATTGGGGATTTACAATGTCTCCTGAAACCCAAGTAACTCAGTGCCTTTTAAAGTAGAAGGGACACTTCAGTAAAAGACACCTTTTACTTAAGGGTGGTGTTCAAAAGCTGAATATGTTGCAAAACTTAAAACACCGCTCACAAACTTATTAAAAGTAAATAGGAGTACGGAAAGTTCAGATTTCAAGATGAGTCACGATGATCACATTGAATGTGACTGGGTCATGATGATTATATGTTTCTATGCTTTCAGACTTCCTGTATCATTTCTCATTAACACCCTCTGTGTGTATGATGCTCCGTGTGCCTGAGGAGAAAACTTGCAGTCAACACGCAAACATGGTTCTATATCAATAAACACACTCCTCTCCATGCACTTCTCACCTGGGCATGTCTACGCAAGGCGGCAGATGCGTGAGAACGATAATGTGCAGGTTAATCCCCAGCAACAATGAGTCCCCCCTGCAGGCAGACTAACCTACTTCACTTGACTAATTGAGTGACAGCGAGAGTAAACTTACTGTACTTTTACTTCAGGCTTCACTACCTGCCTCAGTGACAGGGTGCCACAGATGATATCCTCTTTCCTGCCTCTCGTCTCTTTTTCTTGCTGCAGCCATGATGTAATGGTGGATGTCAAATGCAGCTGAATGAAAATAAAACACCACCATTGATAGTGACACTCGCTCTGCTGACATTTTTTTTTTTTTTTCAATCAAGAATGTCGTGGACTGAGATATGTAGCTGTGCATACTTTTATGCATGCTCAACCACATGTCACCACGAGGAATGAACTAACCCTTTTTATAAATAGTCGACTGGAGGCAGGAGAGGCTTTCATACCCTCATGCCCTCAGCTGCACATCCAGATCCCACAGGAATTCCTGCTCAGCTTCAAAGATAGAGATGCACAATAGAGACAGAGTACCTCCTGAAAGGCGCCCTGTCTGTTCAGACTACAGCGCCTGTTTTCTTTTGACACAGCCAGAAGTTTATCTCCGGAAACATCTTTCCTCTCAGATGAGTAACTTTTTTTTTTTTTTTTTTTATCTTTGCCTCTCCACCTTCTTTGTTTGCACTTTGTGCATGTGCTGTGAGAAGTCCTCCACAAGCAACCTCGGGAGGTGTGCCTGTGCCTGATGGAACTGGGACGGATTGCAGCCAGGTAACTAGAAAAAAAGGGACTGCCCCACCTTCTGTGCAGCTCCTGAAAAGAAAATCAAAACTGAATTACACTGAGTAGAAAACTGCTGTGCACACAAAACACACACAAAAATCTTGATACAGAAGACTCAACATGCTTAAAACTTTGAACCAATAGTAAAGCAAACTTTTCTATCTGCCTTTTCTATCCCCCACAACCCGGTAAAGATGAACTCAAGTAACTCCTCATTGACGTCACCCATCATATTCCAATCGTGTTCATTTGACGTCATTTTAAACTGAGCGTTATTTAACACTGTTAACTATATAAAAGGTTTTACTGTTAGAGCATTGTTTCATATATTTGAACTGTCAATGTTTGTTCATGTTGGCATTTACTGCTGCCACTAGCTGGGTGTTTCAACCATTTTATTCTACTTAGCTTCGTTTCAGCTGGTTGCCCATTAGGCTAATTCTTTTATTTTGTACCTACCTGTATACCTACCTGTTTTAACTGTTTATCCACTACCTTTAGTCATAGACTTTGTATGCTATGGCTTGTAGCTAACTTATGTATTTCAACTGATTATTTATAACATTACTTTGAACTATTTCATCTGTTTATCCATTTGGTTACTTTTAGCTAACAAGAATTTAGCTAACTATTTTAGTTTCTCCTTCTATTAGCTGATTAAGTACCTTTTTGACCATTTCTTATTGAACTATTTAAACCACTTATTTGTTACTTTTAGTTATGTATTTGAACTGTTGAGCTGCTTAAACTCTACTCACTTGTTTTTCAAATTAGTTGAGCCACTCCACATCTTTCCATGTACTCCATGATTTAGTGTTGATTTATCCTTTTGATTGCTGGTATATTTTTGTTAAACCTCTCTCTCAGGTATGGAGTGGAGCCTCCAGGGCTGGTGAAGTTGGAGAGAGAGATAGAGAGGGAGGAGGCGGGTTGCTTATCTCCATCATCCCCTCTCCCCCTCTCCTTTTTTCCATCATTGTATTCACCATCACAGTCATCCCTGCCCCCAGCCCCCTCTCCTCCTCCTCCTCCACCTGCGCCCCTCACTCTAAGCACGACCTCTCTGTCTGAACCCCTCGCTGCTTCCCTCGCCTCTGATCTTCCATCAGCCACAACAAACCCAGTGCCTACATGTTTATCCCCTCCTCAGTCCTCCATCTCAGCCTCTAACCCTTGTGCAACCACAGTCGCAACACAAACGCCTTTGTTCTCTTCATCCTGCACCACTAACACATCTGCTTCACCTCCACTGTCAGCACCCTCACCAGGCCAAACCCTGGTATCTACTGCCAAAGTCTCTCCTACCACAGTAAACAGCCGCACTCCAACAGCTACACCTCCCCCCACCTCCCCACCAGCAGCTCAGACTCCTCGATCCTCAAGCAAATCCACGAGCCGGAGGAGCGCAGGCACCAACAACATTTTGGATGATATTGTAAGTATTTTATATCCAGTGAAATGAAGCGTATTTGAGTTTGCAAAGAATGTTTGTACTTGATTTGTCCTCTCTCTGTCTAACCTGTTCCAGGTGAGAAACATTATTGAAAACCCCCCTTGCAGCTGTCCCACCAGGTTCCTTGTTGAGAAGCAACCTAAAGGCTGCTACCGTGTTGGGGATAAAGTTCTGTATATACGGGTAAGTGTGTTCATGCTATCTCGGTCTTCTAGAGATTAAGTTCATACACCACTAATGTGCAACACCAAATATATTTTACATACATACAAAGTACAAACATACATGATGAGGAAATATTGTTAATGAAGGTATATGCCAGTGTCTGAGTGACTGAGTATGCAGCGAACAAGCGTAAAAAACCTGCAAAGAGGCAGGAGCACTTGGTTTTAACCTTGTTTGTACAATCATGATTAAACTCTATTATGTTTGTGCACTCGCAGTCCTTGGTTAACCACGCAGGGGACTCGGATGTGAACTGCATTTTGTACACACACCATCAACCCTGACCTGCTCCTTGCGACTTTGTATGTAGTACAAAAATGTAGTGCTTCGTACACTTGGGAAAACATTGCCGGTGAACATAATCCAGGCCACAACTTTGTTTCACATCAAAAGATAACGAGCAAAACAAATTAGCAGTAGCTTTAAATGTATTTTCTAGACAGAGGACAAGGTTGGTTCACACCCACCTCCTCCACTGATGTTAATACTGCTGATGTTTTTTATATTTTTTTTTAAAGTCCAAAAATAGATAAATAATGCGAAAGATTAAAGTGAATACATTACAGCTACAGATATAAAATTGTATACGTTGATGTAAAATCTGATATGTGGTAACTTGATACTTTGATACCATGACAAATTGATGCATCATAGATGCTGCAACACATAATAAGATTTTAGGTGCGAAGGCCCTCAAGTCATTAATCAACAGTTGAGTCAGCAACAAGTGCATTGTGTCAGAGCGCCCTAACCCTGTCATTTAGGATGGAGACATCAGTGCCTTTCAGCCTCCCTGAGTCGTGCCTCACATGTATGCGTCTGTACAAAGGCTCGAGGAATGGCCTTCTGGGAGGCAGAGTTGCTTGGCAACCAGTGGTCAGGATTGGACTGGGCTGACAATGATTTTCAGTACACAGACCTTCAGCAAAGAGTTCAAACCTGAAGGAAAAACAAACACATCTCTTTCAGGATGATTTTGCGAAGATATGACCGTGGCGTGAGGTTCAAATGGCAGCCCACTCAGGAATCCAAGTCCGTCTATGTGGGGAGGGTTTTGAATATAAGAAGCTATTATCTAAGTGTCTGTATAAACCATCCATCTGTACAAAGACAAAACATAACAGCTTCAGTGTGTGGTGTATATTAGAGCATATTGTATAAGTAATCCATGGTCCATAAAGTCATAAGACAGTACATGTTGTAAATTTAAAAAAAAAAACACCTAATCATTTGGAATAGCTTAATGATTGAAGCTAAAATCCCTCTGAAAATGTGACGTTTTGTGATGAAGATATGATCGTCAATATTAAACAGAGCCACTCACAGCTTTGGTTGTTAACTGGTCACTAGTTGAAACCCATTTAATGCTTTGTTAAATGTATTGAAAACCCCATTGACCCAACACTTTCTAAACTGGTAATCAATGCCGTCAGCAGCAGTTTGCTTGCAACAGAGTAACATCTACATTTTGACTGGCTGACAGACAACATATTTTTACTGCCCGTTTAGAAAAGAATGCTCCTCTTCAAGTCACTGCACATCTGTTTCTCCACTGCAGACCTGTCAATGACACGGGAGCGTGTGTTTGAACACAACATCAAAGAGACCTGAAGCAATAAAGATGCGATAACCAAAGCATGTTATTAGTTTATTATTAAGTCCAGTAAAATGCTTTTTTTTTTATGAAGGAAATGAAATGTTGAGAAAATAGAAAAATCACATTTTAGTTATTTTATATTCCAGTATTTCTAGAATTTGTTTTCCTACACTATCAATTGTTGACCTTTTGTTCTCACCTTCTCCATGTAGCCTTGAAAATACAGTGTTTTACCAAAACTCTGTGTCCATCTGTCAGTTTTCAGCTATAATTACTAGTTTGTAGACTCTGCTCGCACTGCTCCCTTCCCTTTTCTCCTCACCGCTGACAAGCAAACACACCTCAGCTGTGTGAATAGAGCGCTGCAGCCCATCAACCCTGACTCCATCCAATACCTTGAAGCTCACAGCTGCCTACATGTGTGCGGGGGAAACACGCCATGAACCTCAATTACCATATACCATGATAACCCGTGTGCTGCTCCATGGAGAGTGTGCCATTCAATGTGTACAGACCTTTTTAAAGAGCAGATACTATTGATTACCCAGACAAAGTCATTAGCGAGGGGTTTAATCAGACTGCTTGTTAATGAGCGGCTGAGCATGACCGCCCCTCCTCACATGTAAACTTTATACCCCACCTCTCCCCCTCCCTCTATTCCCTATGGAGACTATTCAATCATGCCGGCCCTGGAGTGCTCCGCCATTCTTTGGTGTTAAAAAAGAGGAAGGCTTTTCTTTCTTCTCTGAACCCAATTAGGCTCTCCTTCAGCTTTGTAGCGGGGATGCAGTCTGACTGTGTCAATGGAAGGAAAAGACATTCAAACACTTCACAATATCACGCCATCAGTTCTTTGTTTATTGTGCTATAAACCTAAAAATTAAATGAAAACATCAAGATTAGTTATTTCATAGCAAAAGAACCAAAATGAGGATGAGGTTATTGTTTTTCTCGCCCTCAGCCATGCCTCTTGATAGAAAACCCCTTCATCATCCTCCTTTCTCAAGTGTCCTTGAGCAAGACATTGACTCTGTAGAAGCCACAGGGTCTTGTTTTTGTAGGTGACCCTGACCCCTGACCTTACATCGCAGGAGGAAAGTGAAAATATGATTGCCAACAGTGTAGCAGTGTGTGATTTTCATTATTAGTATAAAACAAACAAAACCTTTGAGCTAAATGCTAATGTCGGCATGGCAACATGTTCACGTTTTTTATTTTTACCATTTTCACCATCTAAATGCTAACATTTGTTAATTACCACTAAAGCTAAAGAACAGCTGAGGCCGAGTTTTGCAGGTATTTAGTTGAGTTCAACTTGAGGAAAACATGGACGTCTGTACAAATGTTAACTCAAAACTAATTAGGCAGCATTTTCTTACAACCATGGACAGTTGTACCAGATTCCATGGCAATCATTCCAGTTATCGACATTTCATTCATTTTCATTTCCGACAGGAAAAGTCAGTGGATCACAAAAGTCACTAAGCTTAATCTTCTGGGTGCAATGAACATGAGTACAAAATTTTACATCAGCCCACCATTGTATTTATATTAATCAAAATAAAATAAAATGCCTCAAGGGGTAAAGCATACAACACCCTCTATCATCTGACCTATGGTTTGATGAGGAAAAAACAAAAAGAAAAAAGAGAGAAAAGGTTTAGAAAAAGAGATGAACATTTAGAAATTGCAAAACTAACCCTCATCAGCCCTCACTTTACAAAGGACTTGGCTTTACTCAAAAACAGTACCAAAAACAGCGGATGTGGCTAAAGCCTGCCTCCTACTGGCAAGTGTTTCAATGACTCGTCTTTCCTGAGTACACTCATGCATCTTTCAGCAGGAAAGGAGAGAGGGAATCAATGGAGCTGCCGGGGAGGACACAGGGGAATCCAGACGGTAGTTTATGGGCTGCAGACGTAGCACACTTTGTACGGAGACCTGAAGGAGGGGGGCGGTGTGGGGGTGGTGGGGGGTGGTTGTAGAGACAGAAATAAAGGAGTCTGCCTGACAAAGAGGGCTTGTGTAGAATATTATAGTACAGAAACACTGACTGTGTTTCTTTTATACTAAATCATCAGTTTGGCATATTGGTTGTTAATCATATGTTCCTTAAATTAATGAATTCATTAAAAGACATATGCGTGTTTATACATATATGTTTATATTAACAGAAACCTGGGAGCAAGAAACAGTCATAGTCCAACAATCAGACAACCAGCACACAAGAAACAAGACATATAAAATAAAGTCACATGAGCAATTAAATTAAGGTTTAAATTTAAACAACTTACATTAAGAAATGATAATTAATGCTGGATATCATTTATAGAGTTTGATCATACATTTCTTTGGGAAACAAACATAATATGATGAGTGAATTTTTGAGAATGAGGAGCAGTCAGAACGATATTCCCTCCACGTCTGACAGGAGAGTGGTTTATTCAGGATGTCAGACTTGACCCCTGTCAACCTCAACATTTTAATCTGCAGGATGACAGCTGAGACGGACCGTGTCTGCAGTTTCCTCTAAAGCTGCCCGTGTCGCCTGCGTGTCGTCTCTGCTTGTACCATTGATTTTTCTTCCTATGTACCCGTGACGCACACCTCCCCGCATGAGAAGAGTAGATCTGCTTGTATTATCACAATCTTAATGGCTCCGTAATGAAGGGTTTATTGGTGATAAGGCAGGAGGGGGTGGGCCGGTGCTGACAGGACAACGGATGGCTTTGAAGCACCTCCTGGGAATGTTAATGTCTCCTGGGAGTTGAGGGTCTGCGCTCAACTCATCTCAATTTCTCCTTTCAATTTTTTTTTCCAGGCTTTATATTGTGGCAGTAGTTGCCATGGCAGCAGTTGGTTTTCAGCTGTAAGGACGGCTGCCTGTGAAGAATGTCTTGATTCAGATACAACTGACCTCTCTGCAACTGCTGTTCAGCTATAGACTGGCTGTACAGTAGTCAGTTTGATTTGTGTTTTTAATTTGTGTTGCAGATCTATGTGGGTGTGCTTTTGTGCGTCACTGCATGCGTGTGTTTGCATGTTCGTATGTCGATTAGTCCTGCGTGTGTGAGCACAGCTGACGTGTGTCATGACGTGTTGTCTCATTTGGTTTAATGAGATTTTGACAAAGCTATCTGAGAGCATAGGATAAGCTTGTAAATATTAGACTGGTGTGTGTGGAGGGGGAAGGGTGGGGGTCCTCTTCATTACTGATTTTTCATGTAATTGAGAATTCATAAACATCCTTGCAATAACCCAGCCAGAAAATATATGCACACTTTATTTCCTATCAATCCCCGTCTTGTCTTGTGTCACCTCTGCAGATGCTGAATGAGCGTCATGTGATGGTGCGTGTAGGCGGAGGCTGGGAGACCTTTATAAGTTACCTGCACAAACACGACCCGTGCAGAGGAGGACCGGCCGGCAGGTCTGAGGTCAGGGTCTGTAGGTACAAAGCTAAGCCACCCAGTTTGAACATCTCACCTGACAGCTACATGGTGGTGGGTGCCCATTACCGTGGCAAGAAGTAGACTCAAACTTTTGCTTCTGGCTCCTCTTGTTTAATAAGACCAAACTGTAAAAGGTCAATGATTTAACATGTAATTCAAATCCTTATTGCCTCAAATTTAAAGAGAAATCCAACTTTTTCTATTGAAGTTGTAGATACAACTGGTTCTTACCTGATTATTATCTGTATGAATTATTCAACCTACTGTAACAGTAGGTCAGTGAAGCTACATGACTGTATGTATGCAAAGATTAGTGTTAGAAAATTGATAATCAATGAATTGTCTCAAGAGAAAATGCCAAACCAGCTTCCTCAGTGTGAGGATTGCTGCTTTTCTTTATCACACATGATCACAGACTAAATATCTTTGGGTTTTGGATGGTTGTTGAATAAAACAAATCTGAATTATAAATTATAACAGACTGTGACTCGTGTTATTGTAGTGTAGTTAGTAAACATACAGCTCCGAGTTTATGTATCATGATACTGTAGTTTGAATTTGTATTTTTGAGCTTTTTGGTATTGTATTTTTGATAGTTTTGATTCCTTAGTTCCAGCAGCAGTTTGAATTGTAGTGTTAAAGATCTATGAATAGTGACTTTTAATGTATGGAATTATTTTTCCATATTTTCCTGGATAAAATCTGTTTTGGTTTCTGTTTAAAATAAAATGTTTGAAAGAAAAAATTACAGCTTATAACATTTTGTTTATATGTGTCATTCATTCATTCGTCATTCATTTAATATTCTGTAATACACAATGGATTCAGTATATATACAGTATATATATATATATATGCCTGTAGCAGTGAGTTTATCACCTCAGCCTTAAAAAGGCAAAGGCACAAAACATCAAGTCCTCCCTCTAGATGGCACCATGTCCTAAGTGACAAAAGGCCAGGCCTCGCCTCCATGCTTGTTTGAAGGACAGTGCTGTAATGATCATGTCTTACCTCTTGATGACATACACCTCTTATTCATTCATTCATTCATTCTTATTGATTGATTATTGAAGTGTGCAACTTTGGAGAGCAAACCTGCAGAATTAGGATACAAATGTAAACACTGAACGTCACAACGCATTAGTAATTACATATTTTATTTCAGTAAAATAAATTAATTAAAAATGGACACAAGTTTTTAATATATTGAAAGAAACTAGCTGTAATGAGCTCATGCAAGACTGTAATGTCTTTTTAATCCCCACATAACATCTGCAGTGGATTGAAACAGTATAAATGACTTGTAGAAAATAATAGCTGTGCTACTGAAACAAGCGCCACTCTAAATGGTGGCGTTTTCACAGGGCATCTCTCATTGCACAGAATACATTTCTAAGTTCCTCATGAAACACAGGAAGTTGCCACTTGAGAGGGATTTTACAACAATTTCAAATACGCTGTTACACTGTGCTGACCTCATTCGTTCTCTAAAGTACATTATTTTTAATGTTTTGTAAATCTTGCTACTGTGTGCTGCTGTTCTTCTGTATTGAATCTCAATCCAATCAATGATGAAAGCTTAGTTTGAAATCGCAGACGTTGTTATGTGTTTGTGTACTTTAAAATTCACTATCTGGGATATGGGGGCATAAATATGTGCTCTCGGTTTTTTGCTTGTAACACGTTTTGGACAAAGTCCTGCACATGTGCAGTGGTGGCACGTCAGTACTGGAAAAGTCTGGAAAAGAAAAAGAACTTGTAAGATTTGTGTGCAGTTGTGCTAACACATTATACTTGCACCATGTACTTATACATTACAGTTTACTGCTTACAGTAATACTTAAATTACTGTGTATCAGTTTGGGTGTGAACTTAAGACTTTATAAAACCAAAACATCAAACAGCATTGCATTCTGTGAGTCATAGCATGTCAGAAAACACACTGAGCCAGTTGTCAGTGTAATGACCATACATATAAATATTTTTATATTTATGGCATGTCCTTGTTTCTGGCATAAATATTTTCACAATAAGAGCCTGGACCGACTGACCCTAAACACACAACATGTTATAAACCCAAACTCTTTGTAAAAGACACAACAGGGTGCTTATTACATGCTCTGATCATCTTTTGCTGCTGTATGTGGCCTTGCAAACATATAATGTATAACTCCACCTGCTCAGACTTCAGGTTCACAGACTTTTATGAGACCCAGCAAAGTGCAAAGATTCAACAAGACACTGAAGATACAGTTTTCAATCATGCCTCAGTTAAATTTCCTTGACTTGAGGAAAGTGGTGGCCTCATGAGGAGGTTAATGGTGATGGTGAAAGGACTGAACATCACATACAGTGTTGTCAACACACATTATAACACCTTTTTTTTTTCTAAGAAAGTTCATTGACATAGCTGATAGATTATCCCATGACTCGAGTCCAGCAATCAGCATTTATGGGAGAGGGGGGAAAAAAAAGAATATTTGCATAACAGAAAATTGTCTGCTGTTAGTTATCATCTTACAATGTCATCAGGGGAATTGCTTTTCCATTTACAATGAACAAACTAAAACCCCTCCCTCAACGCTTTTCAAAAGCTTCATCTCGTTTCATCTCATGAGTACACATTAGTGCACAAAACCGGTGTATTTTACTGATTTGTAGTAATGACAGAATTGGAGGTTGTGTACCACACATTAGTCCAACTGTTAATATGAAATGGCATATGGCGTTTCCCATATTACTTTATTTTCACTAATTATTTTGTTTTTATATTATTTTTGAAAATAAACGCAGCACAACTGAAACACAAAATGAGTATACGGTGTATTTGGGTTACAGCTTTTTACGTACGTCTCTGCCGTCTTAAGCCTTTCTAAATCACTATTTGTGCTTTTCTTCGATACAAGATTTGGATGAATTTTTAATCCAACAATTGAATTCCAAACTTCCCATGTTCCTATCACATACTACACAATATACAGTGTACTTTTTTTTTTGTTATGTTAGTACACAATAAAATAAAATGTTTTTACTGATCAAGAGATGATACAAGTTGTGTTCCAAAGATCAACCAAACTGCAATGGATGTATTACTTCATTTTGACCTTTTGGTTTTGTTTTCAAAGTATAGCCTGTACATACTGTGCTTTGTGCTGAGGGACAGTGAGTTTTTCTGGATTACTATTTGTGCTTTTCTAATGCATTCTCAATCAAACTACTGGATCATAAAAGTACAAAGGACTGAAATATCTTGCTTTTAGTGGCAGCTGATGATTCACTCTACTGGAACATTATTGTGTCCTGAAATTTGGACATGTAATTTGTTTGGTTGTCATGATACATACGTCATGTGTAAACTGTATTGCACGCTGGTTTGCAAACAAACGTCATGAAACTTGCCTTAATAGACGTTACTGATTGTGCTATCTAACCCACATGTAAACAAAACAAAACAACAAATTATGTTCCATTGTTTTGTTGTATCAGTCAGATTTTTAGTCAGGAAATGATTACACTTCTACCACTGTGTTACTGTATTCAGTGTAAATGAGGACTGGGAAATTTTTTTTTCTTCTTCTAAAATTGCTTAACTTGCATGTATTCAGAGTGGTACACAAAACAGCTGACCATTATTAAGGGCAAACAATGGAGTTATCAAATACTTCCCCTACAGTTTGGCTTTTTGTTTTGCTCTTGTCAGGTTATGATTCAGCTGTCAGCAAACAACTGGGTCCGTCAGAGCGGTAACGGCACAGCAGCTTTAAGTCACAGCTCAGCAGTTACTGTGACCTCACGCCTTCTCCTGCTTCTCACTTTCTTTTCATTTCGTACCACAAAATACCTTCATGTTGCTGAATACATAATGGATTCACTCTGCTAGCACAATCCTGTCACTCTCTATCTTCTGCACACTTTCAGCCATCATCACCTCTATACAAACAGAAAACAAACATTCTTATTCAAAATCTACTTCACACAAACAATGATCTGGATCTACACAGAGATGCATTTGTACATATAGAATCTTTAAAGAAGCATCAAACGATTTACCTTCCAATGCAAATTTACTTGTGTGTGTTTTATCGTACTGACCACACAGGTATATCCATGTTATGCTCTGCAGAGGCTGCAGACGTTCTACCCCCGGGACTCATGTTTGATATCCGTAAGTGTGCTACACTAAAGATAAGCAATGGGCAGTCATCTGACGTCTGAATGTTTTTTTTTGTTTTTTTTTCATTACAAACAATAACACAGCACACATCACTCGACTGAAAGAGGAATGCTGACAGGATGCCTGATATTTGTATGTTTGTTCCTTTTGGAGGATTTCTCTCATGATTCATTCAGAGTAATTGAGCATGTGTGGAAAAGCTGGTGTGTGTGGATGTGTGTGTGGATGTGTGCGTGTGTGTGTGTGTGTGTGTGTGTGTGTGTGTGTGTATGTGTGTGTGTGTGTTGTGCTGTGTGTTGTGCTGTGCTGTGTGGGAGTGTTTGTGGCTTTATGTATTAAAGAGAGCACCATTTTAAGACAAATTCTCTTTAGAGAAAACAGTCACCTTTAGATCAGCGTGAAGACAGCATGTCAAAAATCTGGACCAAAAAAGAACGTCTTATTTGTGCTGTGAGAGCCATGCCTCAGTCATATGTTACGTAGGTGATACTCTTGCTGTTCCTGGAGGTCCCTCTGCGAATTCTGAGATTAGGTGTGTGAAGTTTGTCGTTCCTTTGCTCCTTCCGTCACAACTCAGGCACACTTAAAACACTGAAGGGGGTTGGGGGTGGCGATTGCGATGTCGAGGGTGGTGTGAGATGGTGATCAGACAAAAACTGTTTCAGAGTTGCACATCAAGACTGGAAGGGTGGGGTTTGTGCGTTCAGTGGGTCAATCGCTTCTCGGCGCCTCGGTCCTGTCACACGGTTCCGTTCTCCTGCCTCGGCTTGTGGGTCGTTGTGCGAGCGGGTGTGCTCAGGGATGGGGCCAAGGTGCAGAGGAAGCCAGCCAGCAATGTGAGACCGAGACCCCCCCAGGCACAAAACATAGACCAGCCATAGCCATGGCTAATGTCCTCGGGGAGGCCATACATGTAGCGGGGGTAGCGGGATAACTCAAAATTGATTCCTGCCACACATGTGCACAAGGAGATGATGCAGCATGTTCCTGTGTGAGCAGAAGAGACAAGCAGTGATTTAAAATGGTTCTAGTTTGATTTCTAAATTCCTACATGCTCTGTACATCTTACTGCAGGACAGGGGTCGTGTTACTGCACAGCATTGATCTACTATCTCATGGTAACCCAAAGAGGATCTCAGCTGTCACCCAATAAACACAGAAATTGAATAAAATTGGATTTTGTCTGTGCGCTTGTGTGTGGATGTGAGCATATGTGCTCTCACAGTACCTCCCATGAGAAAGAGTAGCCCAGCTACATATTGCATGAGGTCATGCTGCTGGCAGCATCCCAGCACTCCAATGATCCAGCCAAAAAGAATGATGGACACGGCCATGCCCACAAAGCCAGCCGTCATTCTTCTTAGATCTGCAAGCAGAGATGAAAACGTCACCAGGAGAACTGTGACTTACAGCTGCTCAACAATGAAACTGGTGATTACTCACCAGTATGTACAAAGAAACTGAAATTAAAGCTGGAATCTACAAACTACAGTGCTGATGTTTGAGCAGCTAGTGTCACACTATCACTCTACTAGCACTTTACCACACTAAAATGTTTTTGACTGTGCAGGTAACTTGAAAATGAATATGTTTTTACTTTATCTGTATACAAGATGTGATACAACAGCCGAACCAAGGACCCCATGTTAGCTTTAAGAGACACTCGTATTATGCTTATTCTAGCTATGCTATACCATGCTCAAGCTTATGTCAGCGAATTGACTGAAAGCCAATAAGGTTAGCATTTAATTTCATGCATTTGTTAATTTCTAATGATCTCTCAGGAAGTTTTACAGAATGTACTATGTATTTGAGTTTAATTATGGCAAAAATAAGAATGTCTTTACAAGAAAAGCTCTAATTGAACCCAAATAAATATTCGTTCATTATTCATTTATTATTGGAAACAAAATTGTATATTTATATAGAACTGTACGTTTGCCTGTAGGCAAATTGTTCAGCTGACCTGCTTTGCACTTATTAAAAGAAGAGGATGTCAACTAACCCAAATTGCAGTTCTTTCCAGGAAAATTCATAGAAATACAATAGGAAATAATTCTTAAATTAAGAACCCATAAAATAAAACTTTACTCCCGCTGAGCTATAATGACGGATAGAATTGGATGATGATAATAGCAGCAGGAACAGCATGATGATAAGAATAAGAATATTGTATAGATATCGTTTCATGTGTAAAGCAGAACACATCACAGCAGAGTCACAACACTGAATTTAAAACTGAAGTAAATCACAGACACACCTGCACAGAACACACCTGGAAGCATTAAGATAAAAGTACCTGTATATCATATTGAAAATCACTACCGCTGCAATCCAAGGTCGAACAGCACTCTTACGCCATCTCTTTGAACAAGGATATCGAGTAAGTAATACAAGCCTCCTTTTCAGGAGAGATTTGTCTGACCTAATGTCCTCAGATAAGCCATTTCAAAGCCAATGGCTCCCTAATAGTGATGACATGATAACCTCTGGTCATGGGTCTAGACATGGAAGAGTCTACATCAGTGATATATTCAGGAGTGAGGGGAAGCTGTGCCTTAAAAGAGATGAGTAAAATCTTTCAAACAATTTGTTTGACTGGCTTTTGTTTGACTGACTTACAGAGGATTGACGTGAATGATGACAACACAGGGAAATCTAAACATATCTCAGAATGCCTATGGTAGGACTATGTTGGTGAATAAAGTGACCTATGAGAAACACGTACAAAGAAAATAAGATAGGACCCAAAATCCTTCCTCTCGGCTCACCAGATTTCACATATACTCAACTAAACGGCTAAATGCAAAGGAAGCTTGTATAGAAGATGCAGTTTTTAAGCAGAGACTTAAAATGTAACCATTAAACCATTCATTTTCTCGACCTTTTCTTATATTTTCCCTTTTTTTATGTCTCAAACAGTCTGTTAATTGAATACATTAGACGGAGAAAGCAGAAAAATAAATGTGAATAAACAAACGACAGACAAACACTTTCATACTTACGGAGTGCATGCCACTCATCCTGTCGTATGGTCTTTGTGATGTTGATGGGTAAATTTCGTGGTAGGATGGATGAAGAGTAGTGATACTTGACTGGAGTACATCTTTGAATTATTCCTGGTAAAGAACAATGATAGAGACAATTATAACTGGAGCACAAACATCCTTAATAGAAGTGGAGAGCGGTAACAGGAAAGTTAAATGTAAATGTCACTGTGAACCTTTGCCTGACTTGTGAGATTATGAAACAATATATTAATGGTAGAAAAGCTTCATATTTATTTAAAAACCTTACTGAGTTTTAACAAACTGACTTGGCCTTATTAACCTCATGTTCCCAACCACTCCTTCACTGTTATTAAGGACGGATTAGGAAACAATATGGAATATGGATTATTCCGCCAAAGGCCACATACAGAACCTTAATTGTTCTCATTTAAATTGAATGTCTTCATATTTACTTGAAGATCAGTGCAGTAAACTGTATTCCAAATTAGCTACATTTAGATTTAATAATTATTTATATCAATGCCCTAGCAGAAAATCCCTGGTGATATTTGTAGTTATTTTTCATAATTTGGGGAAAAACTGTGATTTCTATAAACTAGTGTACAGTATTTGGTATAAATCACAAGAGCCACGGGGAAAGTTTTTCCTTCTATAATACATTTTCAAAAAATTAGATAACACAATTACAGGAAATTGTCACATGACTGTGTCAAAGCCTCAACCTCTGTAATTTCTAATCTAATGATCTAGAAAGCACCAGCTTTCATATGAGGACTTCAGCTTCACATACGTACCTGCTTTAAACGCAGTTACAAATTTACATATCATGTTAAGGAAACTTTAACTTTCAAAATGGTGGCTACCCGGGCAAAATTTAAAGGTCTTCAAAAACCCAAAGATATTCCGCTTTATCATATGAGACAAAGAATTCATTTCAAATTCACTTTTCATCTGAGAAGCTGGAACCAGCAATTGTTTGGCATTCAAGCTTGATAGAAACTTGAAATGATTAACAAAACTTTCAGTTGACTAATCGATTAATGGACAACTCAACACATTTTCCAAAACGTATCAGCTACGGACAAACGAAAATCAACACTTGCTGCTATATCTGTCCACAACGGCAGAATTTGTTCAACACAGACGCTGCTCTTTTCCTGATATCACTACTGTCACAACGCTGTGATCATCGAGGCTGTAATCATGATTAGACAGACATCAGACACCTTTACGCCCGTGCACCATCAAAGTTCACAATTTGCAGCACTTGAGAAAATAACTTTCAACAGATTATGTTCCCTGATGAGACACACTCACTTCTTAAAAATTTTGCATCATTTTGCATTTGCTTTCATCTTTCATTCTGTCTGATTTTGAACACAGTTTTGTAAATTGCATCACTTGAGAGCTGTGTATCTGTTGTTTGCCTACAGGTGCAATGACAGACAGAGTTACAATAAGGAAAGTTGAAAACATCTGCTCTCACTCTGTGTTTACACTTGGTTCCAAACAGGTGAACATACTGACATTTAGTCAGTAGCTGCCATAGCTCTGAAAACAAGCTTGGTCAGAGCTATTATGATGTTAAATTATTTGTGTGATTTGAATGGCATATCACTTTGACATGTGTACCATTTCATACTTGTGCAAATGCGTCTTCAGTGTAGTGAACATGACAGTGACAAGAGTAGAGCTGGTAATTTTTGTGCTTTCTTTCAGTTCCATTTTAACATTATCATTAATCTGTTTTAAACAGTTACTAGTCTGTTTATAAAACTGACTCTGGCAACCTAGTGGCCTTCATAAATAATCTGTGAAAACAGCATTAATATGTGATATCAAGTTGCTCAGATATCAACACTAATATTTACACTAAACATAATTATCAAAAGGAATAAATGGAGTTTTAAGAATCTGACAAGGCAAAGTAGATAACAAACAGTGTTTAGGTTGGATTTGGATTTCATTATCATACTTGCAATTGAGGCAAATTCTAATCTGCACCTTCATTCCTGCTGCTTTGCTCTCAGCATGGTGAATGACCCAGAGGTGCATGATTTAGTAGTAGCAAGCACTTTTAATAGCAGTTCAATTCATTTTAGTAATTTGACCATGATCAAAGTTGAGCAGTACAAGGTGTGGACATAATATCATGCACACATGTACTGCAAAACAATATTCCCTTTGTGAAGCTTGTAATATATACAGTATGTTTCTGCTGACACAATGTGAAAGACAGTCGGGTGTATTTTTTAGACAGTATGTCGTCCGGTACAAACTTGTAGTTAACACCTTTCTGAGAGGTAGTGTGCTCATGTCATAAAGTCTACCCCCGTATGACTGAGAGGTGCAGTCAGCTCAACAAAAAAATAACTGTAACTATACTTTATACACATCTATTGCTCACTGCTGTCGCTACATCCTGGTTTTTGAAAAGCAGAACTGAGAGTGTCATAGGCTACTGTGGATGGTTTTATTCCAGAGAATTAAGTCTTGTGTTATTAACTTGGCAGATTTAAAGATTTCGGTGGTTAAACTTAACAAAAAAGTGGCATTAATCATTATTTTACAGTAGATCAGGGGGTGTAGGCGCAGACAGAAATGGATTTTTAAAAACAGCAAGGTGTAGCTGACAGTTAATGCTTGGAATAGAAAACAATTATAACAATAACTCTTTTTAGGTTATACTGATGAATGAAGGTTCATCTACATTAACTCCGGCAACTGTGATCACAACAACAATTTGTGACAACCATGTTTTCTACAGAGTGAGATTCCCCTCTCTGTGTATCTGCTCAGTTTTAGGACCTGGTTCTGGACCAGGTATAGCATCAATGAGTGAGGCCTGAGAGTTGAGCGTCTTATTCAGGGCTGTATGTTGTGTTGTCCCTGAGTGATTCAGCTTCTTCTGCTCTATAAAATCCCCCTGTGCGACATTAACCTTCACAAGATGTTGTTTAAATCTCCTACAGAGGCAAACGGGTTAAGAAAACAGAAGGAGCAAAAATAGACCGGCCATTATCTCAGGGAGAGGGACTCAGCAAGAGGAGATCACTCAGCACCATGGACAACGAATTTCACAAATAAAAAAAATAAAAAAGATTCAAGCTTTAAAAAAAAAACCCAAAAAACCCCCAAAAAACACTCCAGTTTTATTACTCTAAAATGTAAAACACAGACACGCATTATTGTGAGGGGAGGACGTGGGCCTCTGGATGATCCTGTGTTTGTGTCAGGCTGGGTGTGAGCTCACCGCCGAGCATCACGGCCTGGTGCAGGCTTCAGACAGCTCGTGTTTACCTTTGTGAATAAGGTCCTCGGTCTCCAGGTCGAATCCTTCCCGGTGACACTTCCTCCAGAGTCCGGAGATGGTGGAGTTAAACTGCCGGCTGCAATGAGACTCCATGGCAGACGCTGCGGCCAGGAAGTGCCGCTTCCCCCTGATGAGAGCTCCAGCATCTGGCCCGTTACCTTTCCTCTCCAGGCTCTTTGGAGGCATCTGGAGGGGGAGGTTGTGGTTTGAAATGTAGATGTACCCCGGGTCGTTTCGCTTGTTGGCATAGTTTTTACACCTCTCTCGATGTCTCCTCGCGTCGGTCTCGTACCAATAATCGGTGCAAATCGCCATGGCGAGCAGCCCCAGCGCACAGAACGCCAAGAAAAGCCCTGTGCTGGTTAATATTTTCATAGCGGCCATCTTCCCCACTCGATGGAGAGCCCAAACAGTCGCAAGAAGGTTCCTCCGTGGCCGTGGTGGTGGTGGTGGTGGTGGTACCGCGTGAAATAAATCACGACGGCACTCACAGCCTCACGCAGTCCTGCACTAGGAGCATGATGGTGCAAGGCCAGCGTTGTCTGGACTGGATGCTGCGGTCTATTGTGGTACCCGGTGGATGCAATGTTGTTCCCACCATCTGTTATGGTACAGGAGGAGAGGGGATGGATGGCGACCAACGCTGTGAGGAGGAGGCAGGGGCAGTGATGTAGTTGCGCGCTCTCTCCTCCAGGTTGTTGTTGTTGCGGGATGGGGAGCAGACAGGAGTATGCTCTGTTATGGGGTGGGGGGGCGGGGGGTCATTTGTGATGCTTGAATGGTCACCTTTTGGATTTGGTAAACATGTAAAACACAGGTGCAGTGGAGGGGGGATTTAATCATGTGCAATTCATCTTTTAAATCAATAATCATTTCTTTTCCTGAACAGCAGCAAAACTAAGTGGTTGCCGAAAATTATGAGCTGCACTGTTAGTGGTGATGTGAGCGCCAAGTTTGTACTCTATATATCAATGTTTACATATAAAATATAAGACTTACTAAATCAGTCATAACTAGCAAACTTGTACCCTTCCAGGTGAAGGTTCAGAATATAAACTTACATAAGCATGTTAAGCACTCACCACAACAATATATTTGTTGATTTAAACTTTATTTTACAGGGTGGTCCAATGAGAGCAGCACTCTTTTTTTGCATGGCCATCTAGTGTACATGGGCCAACAAAAGCCAAAGTGCTACAGAATGAAAAAAGACTTTGAGACTAACATATAAAACTAAAAGATGAGAATGTTAAGGATAAAAGAAAAGAATAGCTGAGTATTGGATAAATTGGACTCAATTTAATTGTAAGATTTAATGTATGTGAAAGAAATTCCATGATCCAGATTGAGATCCTACTGCTGTTAATAACATGAGTGGAGCAAAGCAAAACAAAACAAAAGTCCCACACAAGAGCTTGTATAGTGAGTGAGTTTAAGATTCAAGATACTCTAGATTGTTTTCCTAGAAAGGCTTTGAGAATAAATAAATACGCTTAGTTTTTCTTTTATTACAGTAAACTGTAGGTGATAGAAATATATTTGTATGTAGTATATAATATTGTATAGTCACTTTCCAACACTATATTTGTTATACAGCAATATTTCATATTGTGCAGCATATAATTATGTATGTTTGTTTACATTATATTATGAATACTCTATATTGTAAACCTTGTACAACCTGCTTTGGCAACACTATACTTAACTGTAATCTTACAACAAATTTGAATTGAATGGCTACATTGACTAATGACCACACACACACACACACACACACACACACACACACACACACACACACACACACCACACACACACACACACACACACACACACACACACACACACACACACACACACACACACAGTTGGAAATGTTCAGTTTTGGCATTACGATATCTTGCTATGATGTTGACTCTTGCACAGGCATTAAATCAAAAAGCAGAAGATGGGAAATTCCAGGATTTAGTGAGCAGTAGGTGCACTGTTAAACCTCTCACTGCGTGATTGATATAGCTTAATATAAAACCATCTAATTACTGAGGGGTCGTCCGTATTCTCAACGAAGTTATATTTGTCGGCCGGTGATCAAATGTTTGAATCTAGACTTGCGTGTTTTAACACTTGGATTAAATCATGAAGTTATGGAACCTTGTCCAAGTATCAATGAAAGATTTGTCATTCGTGTATTTGCACCATTTTCCACTGAATGTCTTCCACTACGGTGTACATAGTGGTTGTTTGTTGTCCTTATGTGCTATGACTGAGGAAGGCTCCCACAGACAATGGGCTGCTCACAGGCTGATGACTAAGGAAGGCAACCCGCAGCGGAGTCGTTATGGCAACAGAAGCTTGCCAAACAGACTGTGTTGAAATTGGACAAGTGTGAAAACACACAATCAATACCCCCTCCCTCCACTCCCATATGACATTTCAGGCATAGGATCTTTGCAGTAAAAACATGCTCACGGTGGAGAGGTTTTTGTGCAGCAAGGTCAATTCAAGCCGCTGGGCTGCGTCAGTACCTTAACATAGGTCTACCAATCAATATCAGGATATCCTAATCCCACTGAGATCAATACAATGCCTGTGTCCTAATTCTTCATACAAACTGTCTGCTTGTACGTGTGGTCTTTTTGTCCTAAAGTTGAAAATAAACAGACTTTTTTTAAATAGAGATTATAGAGAAATTTACAGTTTATTTCTTCAGGAGTGGAAACTTTTACTTTCAGAAGTGAACAACATAATAATACGAATAATCCTGCATGGTCAAGAGCTGTTATCTGTCCCATGACTCACAAAGTTCTTGGTAACAAGAATTTATAACATTATCACAATTATTTATTCAAGCAGAGGTTTATGTAAGCACTAACCTGTGCTTTAAAAAAGGTGCAGACTGTAGTGTGTGAGGGCAATACGACCAGAAAAAGCATACTTTGGTGTAGAGTCGACAATAGTGTAACAGACCATCTTCACTTCTTGGCACTTATTTCTTAACTAGACAAGAATATGGAGTGGTGGTTGTGGCGCACGTCTGGTAAGACTGGGTTGCTTGTTTTTTTTCAATAAATATGCAGCAGCTACATTGGAAACAGAAGATGCACAACAGTAACAAACACATATAATGTTTAAACAATTTAGGGTTCAATGCATTTTAAAGGAGGAGGTCCTTGAAAAGGTCCAATAACACCTGTTCTGTTGAGCAGGTACATCAGATGTACCTGTGTAAATGTATGTGCAAATCAACATGATTGTCTGATCAACAATATAAAACAATTTGGTAACTGATATCCATACAAACCCTCTGAATTCCCTTGATGTTTAAGTCTGGCACATTTTGACATGTCCTCACAAACGTCCTGTCAGCAGATCGAGAAGGTCATCCTTTCAGTCATCCATCCATAAAGTTCCGTTCTTCTGTCAGACATTTGTTTTAGTGTAACACGATGATGATGGTGGGGATGATGATGATATCAATGTAACGATGTAATTTCTTAGTAAAGAGGATGTTTCCAAGAATGGGAGGTACCAGATATGAGGGATGGTGGAGGACAGGATTTCTCTCCAGTGCTGAGTTTTAGTTTTTGGTAAGGCCTCCATGTTCAGTCAACAATGGCAGAGAGCAGAGCCATGACCGCCACGCCACAGAAAATGAGCAGGATCTGCAGTAGGGAGTGCCTAGAGAAAGAAAACAAACAAGCAATGAAATAAAAAAAGGTTAGCAATTCCAGGACATTAAAGAAATACGCCATCTGCCCATTTTCACACCATAGAACTCATGCACTTTGCATGATATATCAACTTTTGCTCTACAGTAAAAAGCCTTTTTACATAGTCACCATGTACATGTGTCAAATCCTACTGCTGGTTTCACGCTTTTGCAATGCTGACTAACGTAGCTATGCACCAAAAAAATCAGTGGAGAAGAAGACTGCAAGCTAGTAAACATGGATGTAAACAATAGAGACTAAATGCAAACATAACTTTCTGAAAACAAACAAAAACAAAATCCACAGGGCACCTTTAAGAGCTTGAGTATCTGAAAACATCTAACATACCTTAAACTGGACTCCTCTAGCAGGTCAGGCACCACATTCACCAGGGCAATGTAGAGAAAGCCTCCAGAAGTGAAAGGCAATATCCAGGCAGTGGCATTTTCTAGAAATGGTACAAAAAAAAACTTAAAGCTGATTCTGGCAACTCTCAAGTTAACGATAATGTGTTTGATTCTATGTATACTGGTCGTAATGTCTTACCTGTGCCTTTTGGTGACTGAGTGCACAGAGCAAAACAAGCTCCCAGGATGCCGACCAGCGCTGTAGACAGCTGCATGCGAGCAGCACTCCATCGGTCAAACCCGGCCCTCAGCAGAATGGCAAAGTCTCCCACCTGCAGATGAAGGTATTTCTCTCATCATAGCAATGCCTAAACACCACAGCAATCTAATTCTTCCTACATACTTTTAGCCATGTAAACATGAAACCTTGAGGTTAAACCTTGACCTGAAGTTTAGAAATTATATTATATAATTTAACCAAGAATTCTATAATCTCACCTCATGTGGGATTTCATGGAGCAGGATAGCAAAGGTGGTGAGGAAGCCAACCTGCAAGAAAAGTCTCATTAACACTGCTTTGTCTTACTTGGTAAAGAAATGTGATCTGTAGTATCAAAGGGAGAATGTTACTAGGGGCTTGGGAGCACCTAAGCTGAGTGCTTAGCTTTATCTGTTCAGCTTCCAATACATAGTGCAATCATGGAAAATGTAGACAAAGACAAAGTAAAAACTTAAAGAGCAGAGTTTAAAAGATTAAATAGTCTTATATGAAGAGCATAATAAGACCTATCAATAATGCAAATCAGAAGTGAGTTAGGGGCATAGTTATGTGCACATCACATGTAAGTGCAAGGCTTTTGAATTTCAGCAGGTTTTGTCAGCCAACTCGAAGCTCAAACCGGTTATAGTTAGACAATCTTGAGGCATAATGTGCAGCTGTATGCAAATGCTTTGGCACTCAAGGGCAAATTACATTGTTGATTTTCAAGTGGAGATAAGTAAATACAACACCTGCAGCAAACAAATCAAGCCTTTCTTCAAATGCGGCGTCTTTATATCATGAACTTAAAACAAAGAAAAAAAATTGTGACGTGCAAAAGTTTGGGCACCCTACTGTGTCAACTGTAGCTTCATGACTTCTTTCCAAATTATTTTCTAAACTCTTTCTTGAAGAAGACATTTAAAAAAAAAAATGTTAAAAAAGTTAAAAATGTTCATGACACCAAAGCCAGGCTTCATTATAATAAAAGGAGCAATGTGTACAGATACAAATATTTGAAAATCTGTTAAATTCAAATGAAGTTAAAAACAAGTGCATAATGAAGCCTGATGAAATAATAAAATAACCTTTTGTCCAAGAAGCAGGAGGAGGGAAAAACCTCAAAAGCTCATTCAATCAAAATTTCAGTCATTAAATCAGCAAGTAAAAAAAACAAACAAAAAAAAAAATTCTTCAAAATGATGAGTGTTATTGAGCAAGGCAATTCGACATAATGACCATATTCACTGATCCCAGACTTCACTGATTCCAGAGAGGAAATTAGAAATTTGACATTACATTGACAACCTTAAGTGCTATTTTACTAATAATCTATTCAAAGTATGTTGATCGGCCGTTCAGAATTAAAAACTTCAAAACCCTAATTTATTCATGTTTAATCAACACTCTGTTGGCACAGATCATTTTCATACAGTACTTCATTGTGGCAAAATCACATTGTGATAAATGTGCATGAACGTGAACAGAAAACACTGGTGAGATGTCTTGTATGTGTATGTTTGAGACATCTAGTTAACTTCCTCTCTGGCACACTGATCCATAGTTCATGCTGCTAGCCTTATGTCTCTCCAGCTGGACTCTCTCAGTCCCACAGCTACAAATATACCGTAAACTACTGAAGCAATACAAAAATCGTGTCACTGCATATTGATGTGTACCTTTTTGGACAAGCCTGTAACAAAATACAACAAGAGCAGGTTTCACACTGAAAAAGTTTGTAGTATCCTGTAATGAATGCCTCTTTTAAGACAGTGGGTATGGTGATAAAACAGGTCTACTGCTCTGCCAGTGTACACTGCCAAACACTGTACTCACAAGGGAGCTGTTATATGTCCAAACTCCGCAGATATATTTTTGTCCTTTGCTTTCATTAAAGTGCCAATAGACACTTACCCCCCCCCCCCCCAGCATTTCCAAGTGGTATTAATGTAGCCACCGCTTGTGCAAAGAAGAATATAGTTAATTTCACCCATGCTCATTTTAGAAAGGCCACCGCCAGGAAATGTGTCATTTATTTCGATTATCAAATGGACATTGAAATATTTGTTTCTGGCTGCTAGTAGTAACATTAGCAACATGGCGACTGCTATCAGACTAGCTACTGTCCAAAGCAGGAAACAACCCTGTGAAACCGAACTTGATCGCAGTGCTATGAGAAAGGCAGAACAAAACACCTAGTTGTATTAATTAGTAGGCAGGTTTTGTTACTTACTGATGTAGTAGACATAATGCCAACTGAATGTCAGTTGTGAACCCTCTGAAGTCCCTTAGCTCTCGCCATAGTCGCACTGGCCATAGGAACTACCAGGACAAAGCCCGGTGGAAAAAGGTGTTTGTAAGTTTTGCTATTGCCACATAGCTAACGTTAGCATTAACAGCTGTTTACTTACCAGTCTAGAAGAAACGTTGCAAGTTCAGCATCAAACTTCATTCCTTTACCCGACAAGAGTTGTCTCCAGTGGTGGAAAGTAATGCTTTGTTGACTCTTATTCTGCTATTATCTTCTACTGAAGTTAGCATGCTAACCAACTAGCTTCTCATCTAGATAGCTTTGAGTTTGTGCAGCGTCCAATCTGCCTTGAACAGTAAAGCTGCTCAGAGGATGTATAGTAACCTCGTCTTGTAAATGCAACAATGGCAGGTGCTCTTGGCATGACTGTTAAGTAAACAGCTGCTAATGCTATAACAATAGCAAAATTTAAAAATAGCTCCTTCAATACTTAGTCTTTTAAAGTGTTCACACCTACAGTATTCACATTCAGTGGGCCTTTTGTTCAGTCTGACATTGCCTTCTTGTTAGTCATTTTCTATGGGGTTCCCCAAAACAACAGAGCTGAAAACATATTGTATCAGACTATACGATTGCATTTCTCCATCATCCATCATCTTCTCCATCCAGTTTCAAGTGCAATTTGAAGTTCTATGTTCAACATATCTTTATGTTGACATGAGCAAGCCTAGAGTCAGTTTGTGCACAATATTTATTAGCAGTGATTGTCAGCTCATAATTGCGTTCTGATTTAGTCTGCAACCCAAGGGAGCTATTTCACCTGCAATTATAGTTTATGAAAACCAGGAGCTCTTGTATCAATATGCATGGTGAGGACTATGGGTGAATGTAATCACGTTCTCAGACAGGTAATTTGCTAAACCAGTGTGATTAGAAATGTAAACATTTCTAAAGCAGCCTCACAGTCAACATACCACATGCATTGTACTTCGTAAGTAGCCACAGGGTGAAAGAATGAGGGTGCTCTCATTCAGTGGTGAAGGTAGAGGTTATCACAGCGTCTTACCTTTTTGCTAATGAGGAAACTCCCTGCTACTGCCAGTCCATGAGTGAAGTTGTCAATGCAGTTGGCCAGTAGGTTTAGATATCCACTTGTCTGTGACACACAAAACATAATGCCGCTCTTACTCACATTACCCTTCATTATTCAGAAGAAAGAAACCATGCTCGACAGGAATGTATTTATTCATCAGTCAAAACAATGCTGGTTGAATTTGACACGTTGTACTTCAAATATACAGAATGTAAGCTTGTGTAGCTTGTTATGTTAAATACTAAGTAAGTCTTGTGTGTTACCTAAAGTTACTTTAAGCTTTGTAGACTGACCACATGAAAAATAAGGTTGTAAATGATCTGTTCCTCTGAGGAAACTTGGGATCTGAGCCGAGTGGAAGAAAACAAAGACACAAACACACTTTAACAAAGCAGCTGCTCGTGATGTACCATGAATTTCTGCTGTAGTTTTGTTGTTTTTATCCCTGTGACATACTAGTGAATTATGACGTGTACACCACCTCTCCTCTTGCACAATATATGCTGGGACAGGCATCAGATCCCTGCAATCCTGAACAGGACACGCAGGTGGAGAAAACAGACAGATATTCCAGGAGACTTCTTTCTGATATGTATTTTTGGATAGGGTTTTTTTTTTATTATTGTTTTTATGGTTTTTGTGCAAATCTCACTTTCTCACAAGAATAACAGGTTAGTCTTTGTGAACAGTGAGACAAGGGGTATATTCTACTGTGCAGTTGTTTTAGTTGATCTCAAGTGACAAGTTTAATTTCTTGCGTCTTTTTACATGTACAGTTACGTGTCCTAATAATCTGGTGTCACAAATAACCGAGTCATTTTTAATAAGTCCAGTGTAAAGACCATAAGTAATAAAAGTGCTGTTATGTTAGGACCTGGATGCACTATTCAAAGCTAGTAAGTTGTGTTAAGTTTATATTTTTGGTTTCACAGTGCTGGTTATGATACATATACAACAACATGACTCAGTTTTCAGTACTGAAAAAATGCAGCTCTTATATTAGATATTCATATCAAAAGTTTAACCCCAGTCATGTCTCTCTTTATTTTTTTGTCTTTTTTGTAAGTGGGAAATGTTTCGGTTGTCAGCATTACCTTGATTTTCTCTGATCTTTCCGGCAGACTCTGTTGCTTGGAGGATTTCCTTGACTCAGCATGGTGCCCATTTCTGAGTGATGCCACTGCCTTTTCACCGAAAACTGAATTAGACTGTGTCTGTGGAGAAAAAAACCAGGTCAGAATGAACTCTGTGCTTTTAATTTTTCTTTGTTTTACAGTTTTTCATTAATAATTTTTATGTTCCTATTAACCACCAGTGTCTACCATCAGCAATATACCATTAACTTGGACAGACTTGTCTCCCCAAAGGGAACATATTGCTTACATATAGACTTACTAAAAATTGCAAGTCAAGTGCAACAAACAGGCATTTTATTGTTGCTCCCGCTGTGTGTCATGGGGTTCACCCACCAGCAGCAGAAAATCTGTTAAAAAAAGTCCTGATTATTTTAATAACTTCCTACACACAGTGATATGCAGTCATTTGTACTTCTGCTTTATTTTTCAGACATAACAGATGAAGTTCAACATGTTTATCTTTTAAATATAGAAGAGGAGACAGATTCATCTCGGGCTATAGCCTCAGTTTTCCGAGAACAGCCAACTTCCCTGTTCCCTCATTCAGAAACCACCTACGTTGCAATTTAAACTGATAGTCAAATTAAGCGAAAGGAAAATAGCCTGCTGTCTTCTGGCTGTGGCAAGGAAATGTTTGCTCCATGTCTATGATTGAAGCATGAGGAAGTAATAAAGTGTGATGAATTTTCAGGGCTATCAATCTCCTCCTGCTGTAAAACAGATTGGGGCTAAATTGTCAACAGCAAAATACAAAACACCTTATTAGTTTTGTTCAATGACATAACATTTTACATAAAGAATTTGAAATATCCGCACATATGACGCATCCATCAAAAACACTGACCAATATTGAAATTAAAAGTAGTTTAGCTTGTTACAGTCTTTGCATGTTTTGGGAACAAAAGCTGAAACACTGAGTATTTTAAGAGGAAATGGTCATAACCTCCCTCTCTGACTCTCACAGACACTGTCGCACTCTGTCCCTGTCTATTGTTGCCTCTGTCTATAAGCTGAGTGCTCTCCTGTGGACACTGAAATGGCTAAAGCAGCTGCTTCACCACGGCACTATAAATAGACACAAGTAGAGGAGCTGAGCCGTGGATTCCAATCTTCTCCCTCACTGGCATTATAAAGACAGGAGGGAGGATGAGGCTGCTTTTACAAACATACTGCAACCACATGTTCACAGTCTACAAAGAAGTGATGTGTTAAACACTTATTAGGGCAAGCAGCTCATTTTGATGCTAGTTAACACACTAATTAAATGATGAACAACATGAGCAACTGTTTCAACCCAGTGCACAGTAGACACAATGTCTCATATGGTTTCGGCTGCTCGTTTAACAAATAATCTGTACAAAATCCTAAGCATGAAAACAACACATTGTGGTTTTATGAGGGGTTAAGTGCTGGACTATTTCTTGACAAGCGGCATCAATCTTTTTATTTACACGAAAGCCAATAAGTGCATTTCCCAAATTGCTGAACTGTTCCTTTTAACACATTCCTTCTTAGAGGAGATCACAGATATGGCGGTTGTACAGTCGGTCATCTGATGCTACGGTCGGTGACCAAAACACTGATACCACAGGCAGAAATATGCAGACCAAGCATGAAATGGGTCTGTACTAAGCACTCCAAAAAAAAAAAAGAAAGAAAAAAGAAATATGTTAAGGCTTGTAATGACATGTCTGTGAGAAATGAGAGTCCCATGGACAGCAGTGAGCATATTCTCCTAAAACATACTGTTACAACTGAGATACTTACAGGAGAGTTAAAATTCAGGTCCGAGTTTGAAGCAGGATCCTCGTGGCTGTCCTGGTCTGGGAACATCTTCTCTAGGAGTAGGAAGGCCAATAGGCCAACGATTACCCACAAGCCTTGGGTCATGTAGTGGTTTTGTTTACCAGCTGGGGAAGGGGTGGTAGCAGACAGATTGCACATAAGACTGAGTGAACAAATACAGTGAGTGACAACTGAGCATTATACCAATACTAAGGTATATGAGTGGTAGTGTCACAAACAACACTGTCTCTAATAACTACAACAACGTGAAACATTGCATTAACAATACTGCCTGTTCACAATGTTACAGAAAAAGTATACATAATAAGAATGCAATGTAATACTTGGTTGATTAATTAAAGGTTTATCAATCCCCAAATACTGTCCCTATGTGACGTTTACGAAATTGACATTACATGAGTCTGTGTTGTCGGTGAGAAAGCAGATTGCTGGAGGGCAAGGCAATGTAGTATTAATAGTAAATTTCTATAGCAAACATATCATTAGCCACTTTGGTAGAACTACCCAATTTGTTTGTATATTTGAGAGGGAAGAATGGTTCAAAGAAATAATAAATACTTCAGATACAAAGGTGGTGATGGCATTGGCGCAAAGGAGACCAACCTGAAGAGACGGAGAGCGCCCATGCCTCAGGGAGGAGGTGAAGAAATACATCACCAAGGAGACCACCAATAGCAAAGCTCAAGAGCTGCTTCAGCTTCTGGCATCCAGCTGAGGAAACACAAAGAAAGAGTGAAGAAACAAGGCAGCAATTACTGTACAGTCCGATTAATAAAGAACTATTCATTAATTTCATGTTATCTTTCATTTTGGCTTAAGATCACCAACGCAAATATTTACAGCTCTCTCTCTTTTTTTAATTTTTTTTTTCATAAATGGCGCATCCTCTTTTGATTCATTTATAATTTCTTAACAAATAAAACTTCATGCACATAAATGCACAAAAGTGGTTCTATCTTGGGATAGTAATATACACTGTGATTACTCATGTATTCCACAGATTTTTATTTTTATTTTTGAGGAGTTTCCTTGGTAATGACTAGCCTCCGGTCAGGACTGCACTTGACAACCAAAAATACATCTGGAATGCCACGTTCCTGTGGGTGGGGCCACTTGAGGCTACAGGCCTCAGGCTGACCTAAAGTAACTTATCCCTGGTTGCTGAAGCTCAGTATGTGAGTGAGATGATCAATCTACCATTGTCAGAGTTATTCATATGTTACAAGTAAGTACTTCTACGCCTCAGTGCAGCCTCAGAGAGCTGAGAGTGCAGCTTGAGACTCTTACTCTTGTTTAAAAAGGTTACACAGAAACTTCCTTTTTTAATTACATTTTTCCCACAGTACTTCATGGCTCTCAGTTTCATTTGATGTGGAACTGGAGGACCATTTAACTGAAATGCTTTCTATTCAGTACAACACATGGCTCTTGTTACTGATTTTGTCATTTTATACTAGAATTACCACCTTGCGGTTGTACACCTCCATGACCATTTTGATATAAAATGCCATCACTTCATTGTTTCATCCTATTTGACATCTGAGGGAAATTGTGTCATAATCAAATAATCCGTGAGCTACGTCCAGAAATGTGTTTTTGACCATTGACCACCAAATTCTAATCAGTTCATCCTTGAGTCCAAGTAAATGTTTGTGCCAAATCTGAATCATACTGAAATTCCCTCAAAGTGTTACTGAGATATTGCGTTTACGGGAATGAGACAGACGGACAGACAGACAGACATATGTACGGGCAAAAAGACAAACTGAAAACTATGCCTAAAATAATGCCTAACCGATAAAAAAAGAACACTTTACTTTAAGTCCCACTATTTAACATTTATAAGCAGTATGTATACATTCAATAAATGATTTACACATTATAATGTATTTATAAGCAGATATAACTCCTGCTGTGGGCGTTCACAAATGGAGGCTGTTGTATAAAAATGAATGACCACATAGTAAAAGATCATTGTAATAATATGTCTTCAAAGTACAAGTTAAAATTGTCCACAAACACTGTACATTAATAAACACTCAAGTGTCCTTATGTCTTCTTATAACTACATTATAATCTGTTAAAAACACCATTTATTAAATGTTTATATGGCTCTTATGTATTCTTAATTGGGGGACTATAAGTAAAGTGAGAAAAAATGTTTTTAAGTAAAAGTTTTCACTAAATTTACATCTCTTACTGGGCACACTGCTTTCAAAGCCTTCAATTTCATTTAAACTTTAAGGCATGTTCATGTTTTCCTCAGAGAAACCTGTAATGAAGTTCATGAAGTCACCATTGAAGACGTTCTCTTTTCCAGGAAGTACAAGTGCCCATTTAAAGCTGTGCTCCATCTAAAATTGTAAACCATGAAGAAGGTGCAGCTGGGCCGAGGACTGGCTGACAAAGACCTGGCAGCACTACTTGCTGAACCCACTGAAGTCGTTCTCTCCTGTTAAGGGGGTGTGGAGAGCTGAGATTTACTACAGAGCCACTAAAGAGCTGGAGTTTTTATTTATAGTATTGAGAAGTGTGAAATTTGTGGATGCCAGAACAGACGGATGGTCCTGTCTGCAGTTCCTGTAATGCATTAAGTATGGACCAGGAATGTGATACATTCTGATGGGTTGATGAGGCAGAGATATTTCCTTCTTTCATTGCAGAAATTTGAACTCTGAACTCTTCTGCTTTCAGCACTTTGGGATTTTGTCAGCTTTTAGTTGATTAACATTTAAATTGTACCATTTGCAACACCAATGTTAACTCTTATTTTGTTGTTTACTCTTGTTTATTTTCTATCACTTCTTTTCTACTCCTGAAGTTAGCATGCTAACCAGCTAGCCCCAGCCCAACAGGGCCATCTTGTCACTTTCCTATACCCAGTCACTGTAGCATCCAGTCTGCCCTGAAGAAGTAGTGCTGCTTAGAGGGCGTATAATAACCTCTTGTCAAGACTGGTAAGTTAACATCTGTCAATGGTAACTTTGACTATGTAACAACAGCAAAACTGACACATAGCTCCTTTAAAGGCCCTTTCTCTTACACAACATGATGTATCAGTGATGACTGTCTTTCAAAATATTGCATATAACAATCTATATTGTGTTGTCAGTATTGTCATGAGTGAAATATTGTGATGGTATAGTATTGTGCCTTACCAAGCAATTTAAGGCATATTTAGACTCCATATTGCCATCTCTTACCTTCTGTTTTGAGGGCTGCTCCAGCCTCAATGGGAATGACGAGTAGGGGGAAAATCCCGCTGAGGCCTACAGCAACAGAGCCCACCAGGGACAGGAACCAAACATGAGCCTGTTCACTGGCTAAGAGGTCTGCTACTGCCTGGAGGCCTGGGAGGTCATCTGTCAGGCTGGGGCCTGGTCCTGCTGCTGTGGCTGTTGCATGAGCCATAGCTGTTTGTGTCATCTTCTGGCTGCTTGATGCTCCTCTGGAGGTCAGCATCAGCAGGGTAACTGGGATAAACAGAGCAGCTACAGCCCAGCTGGGCCTCCTGCAGTGCCCACCTTTCATCCGTCCCACGGTCCGAAGAGCACTTGCAACCAGTAATGCTGTAAGAGGAGCACACTTTCAGACAGGCCTCTCCTGCACCTTGCAAATAAATGTTCTGTTAAGTTACACATAATTAATCAATCAGTTATTTCAGCTCCACATTAAATAACAAAATTCAATTCAATTTCAACATACATTATAGCCCAAGCATGCATTTTTCAGTCTCATACCGATATCACTATTTGAAATGATTTATTCTACATAAACACAGGATAATGCTAATAAGGATCCCTTAAATTAAAGTTATGAGTATGTACTGATTGGGACATTTTACAGTTGTAAAATAAACTGTTGCAAACTGCTGAACAAACTGGAGACAATGTTTCTAAATGACTGCAACTCATATCGTGGTTATATTTCTGGTTAGTTATCAACCAATACTGATATATCTGTGATAAGACAATATCCAATATGGCTCCAATATATATTATGGAAGTAAAACATTCACAAATCTGGACAAGGTAAAACCTTTGTGGAACTGGAAGTTACTCTAAAAATATCAAGCTAAAATCAACTAATCAAAGTAATTAGTTACTTTTTAAACTCAAACCTGATGCAAATTATTGCTGCTGATCCATGCTGAAGTTGTGTTTGAAGTTAAATTTTGCCAGGTAGTGGTGTAGAAAGATCAACACAGCAATACACAGTACAGATGTATTATCAGCAAAATGTACTTAAATATCAAAGTAAAAGTTTCATCCTGTGACTGATATAATGTATATGCATAATCTATAAAGTAAGTAAATGCTGCCAGATACACGTTGTGAAGTAAAAGGTACGACAGTAACATCTGCCTCTGAACTGTAGTGGAGCAGAGGTATCAAGTGTCTGCTTCTTTTTGGCAGCTACTCGTGCATAGTTAAAAGTTAAAAGTTAAAGTGGCGTTAACCTCGCTGCCACTGATTATTCTGTCCCATCTTTAGCAGAAAGGATGCAACAGATATTTATTATTAGTGCTGGAAACATCCAGACACACTGCTGCTCATGTTCCTGTGTGGGAGTTAGCAGGGCAGAGTCGACCCGAGCCAGCGCCAGTAAACTCGTAACAGTTGCGTTGCGACATAAAGTACACAGAAAATCAAAACACCGCGGTGCGAAAACTGACAAAACAACACAGTAAACAGACATTACACTGGAAACCGAGCTTTTGACAAAGACATGCTGAACTCGCTAACTCTCACGCCTGTGAATAAAAGTTAGCAGGCTAACATTAGCCGGACAGATTAGCTTGACACACACGCAATCACTGCAGATTTAAACAGTGACGATTGCACCGTTAAAACTAGCACCAGTTTGAGTTAAGTTAATGCTAACGTTAAGGCTCGGAAAACCATCAAAGTACTACATGGATGTGGCGTTTTATTATTTTTAAATACCTTGTGGTTTCGGCAGTCTTTGCACCAGTGTGTCCCTGCCATCCAGGCCGGCTTGATGAAGGCAGGCTAGAGTTTCTCCACACTCCCAGCTGCTGAGGGCAGAGATCCGCTAGCTGCAGCACTCAAGTAACAGTCGGTCGCGGCGGCTTTCCCAAACAGCCACGTATCAGGATCCTGGAGGAAAAAAAATATAAACAGGAGAGGAGTGTCAGGATCACGCCCCAACTAAGATTTCAGGAAGTTACTGTGTTTTCCCCCCGAGGACTCTCTCCACACCATGTAGCAGAGTTGATCTGAGGAGATGTTTCTTATATTTCAGTGAAACAGGACGGAAAAAGTGCAAATAATCAAACCTATGAACAGGCCAGCCATGCTTATGCATTGGCAGGTCATTATAAAAGCAGTTCATGTACAAATGTAGGTGCATTTAACACACAATCTCACAGAGGATTCACCATCCTCTTCATAACAGACATCACAGTATCAGGGTTGTTATTGTATCAAGTATCTAAGTGCTTCACCCCAGTCGATATAAAGCATGCAAATAGACCAAAGTAAAATATATAAATCACACAATAAATCTAATTACGTACTCAAATTTTATTCAGGGATTGGACCATGGACCAGGGCTTGTCATATTGTGACATAGATCAGTGGTTCTCAAAGCAGGGTTCAGGTACCCCCAGGGGTCCTGGGGGTCCCTGGATCCCTGGGGTCCCCGGCAAAAAGGGGGATAATTAATTTTCACTATAATTACACCCATGAGTAGCACAGTGACAGAATGTATGACTAATTTGGTTGTGGGTCTCACACACTTTCTGTAATAAAACACCTAAAAGCAAACATCTTATCTTATGTGGTGGACCCTGGGGCAAATTCTTAAAAAAATAGGGGTCCGTGGTCAAATTTTTTGTCAGTTTAGCCGTCCTTGATGTGAAAAAGTTTTCTAATTCATAACATAGTTTCAGGTAGAGCTGAAATGACTGGTGGATTAATTGATAAGGCATTCAAGAGATAATTCATCTGCAGCCTCTTTGATAACTGATGAATCGGTTTACTCATTTTTCAAGCACAATATGCCAAAGAATTACTGGTTGTGCTGCTTGTTTTTGTCTTAAATGATAATCAACTGAATAATATTTGGGATTTGTACTGTTCGTTCAACAAAACAAGCATTTTCATTTTCATTACCATGTATGTATATCCAGCATATCTACTATGTATATATCTATTTTTCTACTGAGTATCTTTGAACAAAAATTTCATTTGGGATCAGTTCAGTTCTGTCATGACATGTTGATATGTCACAGTTTTGTCATAGTATTATTCATGCTGTTGCACTTTCATGGCTTACAGAGACACTTGAATAAAACCGAGCCACTGCCAGTGTTATTAGTAACACCAGCTTTCCTACTATGACAACTTAAAATGTCTGTTAAAAAAAATTGCCTTTTTGATACATTTGGAGCTGTTTGAGAATTGGATAGCATTACTATAGCCCACCTCTCTTAAAGTAACAGTTTGTTGTAAAAGTTATATACAGTGCATTCAGACAGTGCTCAGGCCCTTTCAGTTTTTTTTACATTGTTATGTTGCAGCCTTGTGCGTATCTCAATCTACACTCACATACGACTCATAATGAATAATAAAGCGAAAACAGAATTTTAGAGATTTTCACAAATTTATTGAAAAGGAAAAACTGAAATATCACGTTGACATAAGTATTCAGACCATTTGCTGTGACACAGGTGGCTTCCATTTCTCTTTATCATCTTTTAGATGCTTCTACACTTTGATTGGAGTCCACTTGTGGTAAATTCAGCTGATTGATTTGGAAAGGTGCACACCTGTCAATAAAAAAGGTCTGAATACTTACTGTATGTCAATGTGATATGTCAGACATGATATAAGTTTTTCCTTTTTAATAAATTTGCAAATATTTCGAAAATTCTGTTTTTACATTGTCATTATAGGGTATTGACTGTAGATTGATGAGGATGAAAATTATTATTATTTTTTTACTTTCTGAATGCACTGTAAATAGGTCTACTATTTTCCCTCAAAGTCGCACCCACACCAAAACAGGGTTTCTCATTTGAGCAGTTTGGTTTCTCTACGTTTCTGCCACCTTGCAGGAGCACAAGGGCCCAATCTCATCAACACACCACCAGCTAATGTGGGGGCGGTCAGTGCCTAATCTACATTGCCAAACCTTTCTTTGTCAGTGCCTTACAGACCTCCTCTAATCAGATTTAAGATATTTGATACGTTACTGTGTCCATGTGTAATCTTCTTTGGCTTAGAACAAGGTGGACCTAACATGTAAAGATACATAAGTCGACAAAGTAGTCAAACACACTAAACATTCATAATAAATAAAAATAGTAAAAAAAAATAAATAAATAAGAGAGGCAAACCGTCAATGTTGTCCTCAAGGGCCCCATTAGAGTACATAGTTGTTGTTAGAGTTTCAACAGAATTACAAAATGTATGTGTTATTGTAGGCTATGTTATTAGACATAAAGATAGTGGAGCGTGAAACCTACAAGCAAATTACTCAGCCTTATGCATATCGTCATTGTACTAATTTACAGGAAGTAAAATAATTAAAGTTATACTCTATCTGTTCTGGGAACCACTTGCATAATCCATTTTTTTCTACATACAGTTGTCACTGAAGTCTGCTCCCATTTTGTCTTTAAGGTCACTTTTTCATGTATAGGCATTCATTTTACATACCATGGGATTAACCTTTAGTGTGACGTTTATATGCATTTCATGAAGACGGCTGAGCCAAAAATGTCTCATATAGAGGGGAATCGTGGTAAACTTAAGGCATTGTAACACTGTTATTATCCCTTGGCATTGTGAGACAGATTTTTCCACTATTTGCTCCAGAACCTCGGCTAAAAAAAAACTAATATTAACCTGGAATTGAACCATAAGTATGGAAGGTACATTTTACACAGTATAAGCCACACCATCCTCGCCGCTTTTTTTTCTCTGAAGAAACAGAAACCCTGGATCGGTTGAGATGGAGAAAATGGGGTTTATTAATAAACTCAACACGCCACAGGAAGTATCTGGAGTTGATAAAAATCAGGCAGGGGTGTAGCAAGGAACTACACTCTTTCCATTTTATGCTACTTCATACTCTCCTTATGGGAGCCTATAGGGGCTATATTAAAATGATGATGTAAACTTTATGTAATTCCACAATAGTATTCTAATATATCACATATGAATGTGTTATTTGACTAAAATTTGGTGATACTGGTGTTCTGTGACCATATCAAAATGAAAACAGAAAAGCTGTTTGAAGTTTTATTTCAAGTCATCACACTCAATGAAAATGGAATCTGTGCAAAATGCAATCTCTCATTAAGGTGAGTCGTCAGTTAAGACGTCAATCACCGTAGGCTACCTGCCGGAACCTGGCTTTGGCATTTGTCATTGAGTGATTGTGAAGTCTCCTCTAAGAGGCTGCAGAGGCCTCAGAGCAGTAACATTCAACGAATATTGAAAATGCTACTCCCCCTGCTTCCACCGCTAACACTACCAATGCAAGGAGTGTCATCAATTTGACTGCAATTTCCAAAAATTGCATTTTAATTTTAATTGTAACTTCAACATTGCCTGCATAAATGGAAAATTAGGTTACATTGCTTATATTGCATTTTAGTTTTCAAATTTGATTTCACATTTTAATATTGTCAACTGTACAGCAGGGGTGTGACTTTGAAATGTCAAACAGTTCTTCCATTTTCATTTTAAAATAGGTATAAAACACCTATATGTGAAAATGAAAATGCAATTTTAATTATCTTTTTAACTATCTTACTCTTATTATTTTCATTTTTACTCAAATAACCCATTCATGTGTGGAAAATTATTTTTCTACTGTGGAATTACATTTTAATTTTCAAGTTGACAATATCGTATTAATATTGTCTACTATAGGCTTCCATACTCTTGGTCATGTTTTAGATGTCCATGAGTTGTCTGCAGTTCTACTAGACCTTTTTCCCCATTTTTAGAACCATTTTTCTGCAGAATGAGTATGTTTCGCTGATAATACTTTGGATTTTGAAGGCAGGACTTTTACTTCTAATTTACAATTCATGCATTAGTAGTTGTACTTCAGTACTTCTTCTCTTAAACCATCTTTCAAATAAATGCAGTTCTAAAATAGTGAATAGTTCATAGTACTATATCTATTTCGAAATATTCACTCTGTCAAGGTCCTAATCTCTAGCAGAGCACCCAAGGTCAAACTGTGCAGTAAATTCTCTTAATGAACTGCCTGACCACCAGGTGGTGTATGTGACAGGAGGTTACTGCATAGATTATAGTATGAAATTTGCCCTGACAACAGCCAAGAAAAAAAAATCTCATTATATTATGACAGCATTTACATTTCATCTCTTGCCACAGCATTATTAGCTTTTTTTATTGTGTTTTGAACTTGTAGCTAAGCACATACTGTAATTTCAGGCATACTTGCCACCACAATGATGAATAATATAAAACGGCTTAAATGCACAAACATATGATGATGAACAGTTTTAACTCCTGTTAAAAAAAGGCAGATAGTTGAAGTCAAACTGACCATGTGTTGTAAAGGGACATTGATTTTAACATTTAAGAAGTCTGACCGGTTTTCAGGTTTTTAAAAATAGACAAGCTAACTCTGACCGGCAAACTTCGCAGAGTGAGATGAGAAGATAACCCCCCCCCCCAAAAAAAAAACCCCAAAAAAACATGATTAATATCCGCACTGAGTCATCCTTGTCTGACTTGAGCAATACATAAAGAAAGAGGAACTTAGTTGTTTGGTGGGATAGAGGCCCAAAGCCTTATATGGGTGTAAATGGGTAAATGTGAGTGTTTGTGTGTATGTAGTCGGGGAATGAAAATATTCAAAAAAAAGTTAAACAGAATGAGACAGCAGATTAGCCATGCTACTGCAGAGTTGGTCTCTAATGTGTCATGTAAAAAACACTGTTGTTTTCCACTGTGAATTTTTTTTTTTGTATGTGTGTGTGTGTGTTTGTGTGTGCGCAAGCTTGTCTATATGCCTTGTGATTCACCTTTGTCTAATAATACCCACAGCCCAGTCTGATAGTTGAATCTTGTGGAGTCCAGAGAAAATGAGGAATCAGGAATAAGAAGTGAGAGGGC